TTTGGTAGAAGAAGGGAATTTAAAACTCTACCACTGGCCGACACTCGGAGAAGAATTGTATTTTATGATTTATGAACTTTCGAAAACGATAAACTGTTTTTATAAAATTAGCTATTTTGAGTATCTCACAGATATAAAGAAATACTAGAAATCCGATTTGGAAATTCATGATTAACTAATGAACTCAATAAATATGTTGCAAAATATTTATCCATAATTAGCCCAAAATTTACTGGTAAAAATATTAAATAATCGTATCAAAATGAAAGTTAATAATTATTATGTAAAATGTAAACATCACGTGCGAAAATAAATAATAATTATATAAATATGATAAGTTAAAATTATTTACATATTTTTGGGAGACTAAAAAATACCAACCTTCTCGTTATGTTTCCTAAATAACACTAATATAGGCTCTAAGAAAATGTAAAATTAATAAAAACAATATAATATTAAAGTATTATTTTTGTAGGTGTATCCAAATAATACCTATATTAATTTGTACTTAAACATGATATTTTGGTAGAGATGATATTATGGTGTTCTTAGATGGTGTACATTCATTTATACCCAAACGTGCAACTGCGTCCACGATTTCGATGTCCGTAAAACCCCGCAAGATTCTTGATTTATATTTTGCAGACTTGTACTTTCCAGTTTTTTACGCGCTCCTTATTAAATAAATTACCAAAAAATAAGGGCTGAAAGAATATTCATTGGACATACAAATTTTCAAATTATTATACTGTATAGTTGTTTTCGTTTGTAAGATCGGATAATATTATACTTTGATGTATTTATTTTTTGTTTGCAGAATTAATTATTATTTCGGATTCTAACGGACATTTAAACAGCAATTGGGGACATATTTGTGTATGTACTGGATTTTATATTTTTTGTGTACATTTCAACTATACACTATAATACACTTGTCATATCGCATACAGCGTATTATATAATGGTATTGATATATACTTAAACTGGAGTATAATAATTATTGTTACAGCGAGAATGATAGATTTTTAGTATAAAACGGCCATTGCTACCTACAGAGTGTCCTACGAAGATATATCCATTGTATTATCTCCGGAGATAATAAAGATAATCAAATTCTTGTTTTTTTATTTTATTCAAAAGGATAAGGATTACAGATATGTAAATTGCAATTAATTGTTTATATTGTGATAAAAACCTTAAAAAAATAACTTTTTATTTGTTATATTATTATTTTTGGAAAAATTAAAGATAGGTATTTTAAAGAGTTTATTTTTGGAAAACTTTGATGTATCAACATTTTATTTTCATTAAATTCGTAATTTTTAATGATATTTTCCGAAAAATAAACTCTATAAAATGGCTATTTTAAAATTGTTCAAAAATAATAAAATAAAGTTATTGTTTAATTTTGTTACCAAAACATAAAAAATGAATTTCAATATAAATATTTGTAGTCCTTATTCCAGTGAGTAATATGAAGAAAAAAACATAATTTGATTATTTTTATTATCTCCGAAAATAATACAATCAGTATGTCTTCGTGGAATACTCTGTATACCTAAAGTGCGAAATTATATTATTGCGTCTCTTTCGAGCTGTAGACAGGTTGTCAGTCGTCAAGGGATCGAATATCGAAATAAGTACCAGATCCGTTTTCTATATATAAGATAAATCTTAACAATAATATTACAGCAAACTATATAGACACTACAATACGATTTAAAGTAAGTGCGATGGAAAGTTTGAATTCGCTATACTTACAGCTGACAGTTCGCTTTCCGAACGACGGAATGACGCATAAATGATTCTTATATGGTTTAATATAGGTTAAGTAGGTACCTATATATAGGCAGTGAATACTTGATAAATATATTTACTCATATTTGAAAATAAATTATTAATGAATTTATTAAACATTTTTGTGTTGTGATATAATTAATCGGTAGAGCAACATGACTGCAGTATGGCTAGGGGCATTAAAATAACTTTGAATAATAACGATGACCGCTGTCCATAATATACCTACAATATTTAAATTGGTATATAATATAAACGAATAAAACGTTAATAAAGTGTTTTCGTTTTAAAAATATTGTGTATTTGTGCTTTCGGTAAAGAGCTACAGTAGGATTTTTAATAAGGTTTTGTTTTTAATATCTTCAAAATTAAACTTGCAAAAGATAAAAAAATTCTTTCTTAGTATTTATTGAAAATTATAATTTTCAATTTTAATAAAAAAATGTACCTACCTGTCATAATAATAGGTATTCAGTGGCGACAGGAAGTTTGTATTTTCAATGAAGTTTTAATAAAATTTCAAATAAATTTAACTTATGTAACCCAATCCCAGAAGAATCAAAAGCTAAGTAATTTTAGGGCTACCTACTTGACATTATTGAACTTCACCTTTTTCGTAAACATAGATAATACGTAATAGGTAATGAAGTGCTACATTAACATTATAGGTACACCCACTCATAATCCACCCACCTGACCACATGACCAAATTATCATGAAGCATCTGCTTCATAAGATATGGATTCCCGCCGCTAATTTAATATTAATTATTTATGTTTTAAACATTATAATATTTATTTAAAAAAAACCTAACTGCTATTTTTGTTCCAATTAAATCGCGTGTATAGCTGTGTAGGTATAATAAAAACAATGAAGAATTCGAAAATTAGGTTACTTTGTTTTTTCAGTTGTGATCATATTATTTGTTTTTAATTTGTATCACGTTTTTCCTATTTACTCATATAATCTAATCACAAAAGTAGTTCTTGTTTAATGTTTATTGTGTAGGATAATAATAATATAAACCAATAAAAAATTAACTTTAGAAATGTGAGCTCGTCTTCACTTACACGTATTAAGTGACTTATGAACATACCTGTAGGTACGTTAAAGTAGATACCTTAAATAAACAAATATTTGTTTTATTTTTTTTTTTCAATTCATAGTTATATGACATAATTGGAAGGTTATTTATTTATATTATACAAAACAAAAATAAATAAATACAAATATAATAATAATAAATCCATGGTCAAAACTGAGTTGGGTAATTATCTCAGAATATTTAACCTTCAATAATTATATTATATTGTAGGTTAACAATTTCGGTATATTTATCTGAAAATGTATACAATTTTATAGTATTTAATTTAAGACTGAACAAAGTGAAGAATGTATTGGTTTAATTATGTTTTTTTTGTGCTTGTAAACAACTTTACTACTGGAAATCGTATTCTTATCAAAGATTGTATACAACCTTCTTGTAGAATTTTTGATTTAATTAGTGCCTTGAGTAGTTCATTTTTTATTTTTCTTTACAAATGATAAAAACTGTACATTTTTGTTTATTTCTGAGTTACCTTGGCAATTAAGGGAAAATACTATGCTCAAAATCGTTTTTTATTTGAAATAGTTCATCGATGTGTAAAAATAGAAATTAAATTAGGTATAGGTACTCCCTTCCAACTTCCCGCCTATAGTAGTGGTAATATCGAATATTTTTTTTTATATCTGTTTTAAATTTCAACGATATAATATAGCTAGGTATAATTATATATACCCAATAAAAATAATTATAAAAAAAAACAACAGAATTTATTTTTTAAAATTTAAAAAATAATAATTTAATAATAATATAATTATATTATATATAATATATAAATTATATAAGTACGTTTAATGTTTTAATACAAATAAGTTTATATTTTATTCAGTAAACCTATAGATAGATAAATTCGTTAAAATATTCCCTTAGTACTGGAAATATATTTAATTATATTATTTTAGATTCTGTGTGTAGCGAAAAATGTATTGGTTTTACTAAGATATTTATTTATTTTTTATTTTTTATCCTGTGTAAAAAAATTCTACCAGAAATCTTTTTATACATAAATGTAATAATTAATTCAAATATTGATAATGTACCTACCCTAATAAATAAGAGTGAGTAAATAACTTAAAATACATTTAGGTAATTATTGAATAAATATATGGTATTGAGGAATGTTTATTATTATTTTCTATTAATATGAATAATTTTTGAAAGGCTATTTAATAAAATTGAACATTATTTATGTGTAGGTAGGTATAATAACGTAAGTATTAAGTTAACCTAAATTTTCACATGGGTACCTATTTACAGGTACGGCGATTAATATTTCTTTACGTTCATCCCTCATCAAGTCTCATACATAATAATACATTTTAATGAAGTATTGAATTACTTAAATGCGGCATTGTGTTTTATTAACAATAAGAATTGTAGTAGGGATACGTAAAACGGGGTGGGTGAAGGAGGTCAAAGCTTCCACGTGGGGGGTCTGCAGCGGAAGATAAATTATTAATATTAATGCTTCGGTCCCTCTCTAAAATTTAGACCCTAATTTCACTACTGTATTAGGTATTCCTGCTTGTATGTAATATATATATACTACATAGATTAGGTAGCTAATTAAGGTTAAGGAAACGAGGAAAATAAATTATCATTTATTACTTATATTTTTTTTTATATGAAGCATTTAATAATTAAATTGGTACAACTCGTTAATAATAAAATTATTTTAAATATATATGTTTACAGGTATGATTTTTAATTAACGAACATCATACATTTTTCAATAAAAAAAAAAGTGATTTTTGACAATAGTTCACTAATTAGAATTTCAGCTTTATTTAACAATAGCGTTTTCGAGGTTGTCACTGTTTTTATCATGTGGTGGCACACTGGCACTACAACCACTGTTTGGAATGCCTGTATCAATTTTCGAAGTTATTTTGCATTATTTTGACGACCAAAAATTAAAGTTCGCCCTTGTATATGATTTGGTACAAATTATGCGAAGAAGCTCGATAAATTTGAAAATCCCGCGTAAGTCGATTAATGGAAATCGTTTTCAGTGATGTGTAGATGGCGTTGTGCGCGACGATGGCTCCGCCTACCAACGGCGTCCTAGTCGTCGGTCACCGGTCGCAGTACGGTATGCGAAATAAATTAAATGGAATACGCGGCTCGCAACTGCAGTAGTCCCACCATTTTTAATGTAATGTTGGTCATGGGTGTCGCGTGTTTATTGTGTTAAAAGTGTATTTTTCCGTAAAATTTTATCCTATACCGATCAGTACGTACGTAGTTGCACAACGTCAATGATTATTTTTTCGCGACAACCGATCGGTCCGTATTGATAAAACGCGGGCGGATGGCGGTTTTTAAATTGTGATTGTTGTTTTTATAAAAAAAAAAAAACCGATTAAACCGTTATCATTGGTGGCTTGGATTTCGAGTGATAGTGATTATATTACATGTATATAAAAAACAATATAAATAAAAAATAATCAACACACATTTTCGGGCGGGTCCACTCGCGCGCATCTCATGATAAGAGATAAACCGATGGGATTCACCGATCGTGTAGCCGGTTCGGGTTGTCATTATATAATACATAATAATAATAATAATGGATATAAACTATTTTTACCGATTTTAGTGCGTTTTTCGTTGGCCGCCTAAACGTGTTCAGTGTTGTTTTGTGTTTGTATTCTCGTCGCTGACCGGATGTGTGCCGATCTCCTGTCGTTTTTCACCATCATACCGCCGCTCGACGTCGAACCGGTTTGTCCGTTTGAATGCGAGCTCGTCCAATTTTGTATACTGAAGTCGTAAAAATATACGAACAACGTAGTCGCATCGCTTCTTGCCTGTGCCCAAATTTTACCGTCGCGCCGGACATGGATGCGTGAGTCGACATTTTATTAGCCGTTTGTGCCGCCGACGTCGTCCCTTCCGAGATAATGTCCACGAAGCCGTTCGTGGTGAACCACGACGGGAAGAAGCATAACATCGAGCATTTCCTGCGCTTCCATCCGGGCGGTACCAACACGCTGTCCATGCTGAAGAACGCCGACGTCACCGATCGTTTGATTGCTACCCATCACTCGGCCGCCGCCTACGAGTTGCTCAAAGATTACAGAGTGGACGACGGAGATCCAAAAAAGTACGTCAGAGAGGACGGCGATCTAGAGGTTCGTGTGGACGGTTATTTTTTTTATTTACTGATCTTTTAGTTCATTTACTTGTATCAGGTAGCTGTATGTACTGTAAATACCTTTAGGTACATATAGGTATGCATAAATCGACTAGGTACGGACGGGTCGTCTTATATTCATCAAACGATTTCACTAATGCATTTTTTAATGTTACGAAATATTAGATATATATTCTTTGGTTATAGGTAATAGGTAAAATAGAACTATTAACATTTAATATATAGGATTACAGGTGGTATTTACTTGACTTTAATGAAAAATGCCTAAACTGATTTCTTTAAAATAATTTAAGGTATCTCTGAAGCTGGTAATCATCCTGTATTGTTGTTTAATAGGTAGATACAATTTAAATTATACTACTTATACTAACCTATGAAGGTACATATTTATTATTTTATTTGTGTTGTTAAAACTAGGTAAACTATTATTATACTAGTATTATATTTTTTTGACGAGAAATAATACATAAAAAACAAGTTGATGGTAATAAATCTGGTGGTAAATCAAGTAGAACATCTTAAAATGATTAAGAACATCACTTATAAAGATTTAAGACTAGGTATTTACATTTTACATGACATGTAGATAGGTACTTTGCAAACTATTTGTATATGTCCTGGGAATAATTGTTACAAAAATGTTATTGAGTTTTAATAGGTTTAAGATTGATGCATTCTTTTAGTTCACTTGTTATATTATGTGATTACTTTAGTTATTAGGTTAAGATAGGTTAGTTAATAATTGTTTTGGAGTTGGGTTCATATTCTTAATGTATTTCAATAAATTTAATGTGTATCAATTAATCTTCAAATTAAACTTTACGTTGAATATCAAAGTATTACTTTCTTAAAATAGGTAGTTTAACACCTAAGCACCTGTAGGTACTTTGAGTTAAATGCAATTCAACAACAAATACTAAATTTAAATTTGTTAAAAGCAAAATCTGTCATGGTTAATTTTTCTAATTTCATTAAAATGTATAAGAATATAATATTTTTGCTATAATAGTTTGCATTTTAGTTCACCAGAGTGTTATACCTACATTATATTTAGGTCTTAAATCATAAACTACAGATCTAGGTTAGTTGAGGTGATCAAAAATCATATATAGTAAAATAATTTATGTATAATGTTATGTAATATTTAATAATATTTTTAATTTTAATAATTTACGTTGCTATGCTAATGCTATGTTAGTGCTGTCTTATCGTTACCTAATAATCTTTAAAAAAAAAAAAAAAAATAGGTACTTATATTCAGTACCTTTTTAAAAAATTATTATCCTATTAGTAATGAATTAGGTAATTTTAATTTAAAGTAAATATAAGACTGTCCTAAAAGTGGACAAAATAAATGTTATTTGAATAAGTAGGTACTGTAAAACAATACTGCTGTCTAGAAGAGTTGGGAACTGGGCTGTGGGTAATTTGTAGTTAATTTTATTAATGTACATTTGTCAAAAATAGTACTTATATTCTTTATTTAAAGATATTCTCATTTTCTAAAGAAATCTGTATTGTAGAAAACTTTTTGAAAATATAATTTAAGTAACTAAGAAATTAGATACCTAATCGTATTATGTATTAAACTTATCATTTGTCTAAGTTATCCCAGTTACTTACCTAAGTTTGTTATCCTTTACACCATATTTGTCAATAAATTTATTAATTGCGCAATTTTTTAAAATTTTATAATTTATTTATAAGTTGCTAAAATAGGTTTTATTGTAATTTTAATTTTAATCATGCGTGAAAAAAAATCTTGATCTATGATTTTTGAATTAAATATCTAGACAGTTAGAATAACCTTATTGCCAATGGTTTAAGTATTTTTTAAAATGTTAGCATTATTTTGTAATAAATAAATAACACTGTACAGCTAGCTAAAACGTCTAAAACATAATATTTAATAATGTGTATTTATTAGATATATTATCAAGTTCAATTTACCTAAACTAGTTTGGATCCAATAAAAAGAAATAAAATACCTAAGTAGTTACTACGGCAGGCATCTAAATTAAAAGGTATTAATATTAATTTTAATAAAACGGTTTTTTGAAATTAAAAACTATAAAACAAATAGGTACTAAATAATTAATAAATATGTACACTGATAGTTGATTTTTGTTGTCTTTTAAACCGATTAGTAGGTATCTTTTATATTTTGGGTTTTTGCGTATTTCGGAGCTTTTTTGAAATTTTCTTTCGTAATGTAGGTTATGAATAGTTATAGTTTCATGATATTTGTAAAGTGACCAACTAGTAGTTAGTTTTTTTTAATCGTTAAACCTGTTCGAACAGACCACTTGTTACTATGAAACTCATCTCTTGGTCCTCTGCGTGTATATACTGAAAATACTCTTATAATATATACTATTATATGGGTATTTAAAGGTAAGATTTTATTGCCAACTCGATATTATTATAATACATAATAATTGACCTTAATCATAATAGTTTATCTTTATTGTTTACGAGTTGTTATCTCGTTTTTATTTTAATATCAACCCGGTAAACGAAACCTGATATAATATATCTCTTATAAACTCCAATATAATATTTGATATTTAATACTTATCATTGAACGAGTAAACGTTTAAATATACAAAAGTATATTTAAAATAATAATTGCGTGATAATAAAATATACAACAGAATGAGTTTTCGAGTTTTTTTCAGTCGAAATGGGATATTTTTCTAAATACTTCGTACGTTGTTATCATATTGCGATTAATAATTTCTTTTAACACTCTCGTAACGCCAGGTTTACATTGTTAGAGAGTAAATTTGGTGAAGGACCTACACTAGCCTACCTATTATTTGTTCAATTTATTCTGCTCTACTTGACTCGACTCTACTACAGTGGAATGTGGGAAAAAAAACCAATTTATTTATTATATTATAATTACAATAATGTAAAAAATAGATAACGAAAACATTGTATATACAATTTTATATTGATTAGTTAAGTTTAACCCGTGCCGCAAGCATTCAAAAGTTTAGAACAGAACAGTTTTTAATATTAATTAATATTGATTGTACATAAACGCGCTATGTTCTCATGGGTCACCACACGAGCATGCTCAGTGGGTGGGATCCATAAAATAATCATAAGATAAAAAAAAAATTAAAAAAAAAAAAAGAACTGATACTGGGGATGGGATCGGCCACTGTTGTAGCTGACCTAACCTGAGAAGTCGGAAAGATATGATACACAAAGTTATTTCATTTATATCTGTAATCAACGATAATCTATTGCTTGACGAAAAACGATTTCGAGCGCAGTTCTGTAGTACATAACTTGAAGTGCCGTATTTTTTTTGTGATTTTCATTTAAATTTGATTTAAATGCTTATTAAAAAAAAAAAGTCGTCCGATGATTTTGAAAATTTTACCACATCTAGGAAAGTTCAATATAAGTATTATTACCAAGTTTCAAGTCTCTACGTGTATTTACAACTGAATTACAGCAAAAAACTACCAACAATTCCTGAAAAGTTCAAAAGTGGCTCAAAAGTATTGGCGTTGAAAGTAAATTAAAAAGGTAATAAGAATGATGCCTTGTGATTTTTTGATTAAATAATGAAATCGTGAAATTGTACGTTTTCCTACGGTTTTTTCCCACTTAAAAACTTTGATTTATAAAATTTCGAAAATCAAAAAATGAACTTTTTAAAGTACCATCTAGAAAACTTGAGCTTTCAGAAAAGTTGCTACACGTAAAAATCGAGGCAAGTTTACTAGGAAAAAACGTGTCCACAGATTAGAAGAAAAAAAATAAACATCTTAGTAAAACCAATAGCTCCCTCGCTACGTTTGAAATCTAAAAATAAATATATTATTAAAACCAATAGCTCCCACGCTACACTCGGATTCTAATGTGTATTTTTTTATTTTTACTAAAAATTTCATTCAACTTATTTTTAACTTCATTAACTTGTGGAAAAAGAAAAAAGAAAAATTAAAAGTAAAAAGTATACACATTACACATATTCTTATACAGATAATCAATTGATTTTAAGATAAAAATATGTGGCTTATCCATAATTTATGGCATTAGTTGGCATTCTATTGTGGAAAATTCCCTTAAAACCTTTCTTGGATTGAAGTAGAACTGTTTTATAAACTACTTTCAGTCTCATACGTCTATCTCTAAATTTAGGATTTGTCTTTTTTTTTTCAGTGTCTTACCTTATTGTACATACAATGGAAATAATAAATTTCAATAAAAATAATAATAATAAATTGTGTTTTGAGGGTTATATGTACATTCTAAAATATACCGGAATAACCGTGTTTCGAGACTAGTCGGTCACAAGCGTCCAAGTATTTGGGTTTTAATAACCAAAATTAAATTGGAAATTGCTTCAGATGTAACCAATTTGGCACAGTAAAGTCTAGGTTTATTAGGAAATATAAGAAAATTACTATACTATAAAAAAAAATAAAATGTATTAAAAAATCTTTGTTTGGAAATTAAAGAAAGAAATATGACCATGCCAGAAATTTTAACAGCAGTAGCACACACAATAAGTTTTTATTGATTTATTTTATTTTATTTAGTTTTTTTGATTTTGTATTTTATTTTTATTTTTGTATAATAAATATAGATCTGATAATATATGTTTATAGGTCTATAATAATAAATTATAAGATTTATCAATAAATAATAACGAATTTGGTGCAACTGGGCATTAGTATAATTAATTATAATTTAAATAATATAATAAATAAGTTGGCTTTTTTTCTGATTACCACTATACTGGGTTATACTAGAGTGTATTCTACTACAGTACAGGTATTATAGTGGTCTGTTCTATATCTACACTGTTTACATCAGGCTATTTAGAGGGATAGTGTTAACTCGTATCATCGTGTACTCTACCGATTTTCGATGTTTTCGTCATGGCAATGTAGTCACTTTTACACCACTGGTGGCTGATCGTTAGTTTTTATATTCGTAATTTAGTTTCAATGTCACGCGGTGTACGTACATTCAAATGAAGAAAAAATCAGATTGTCGGATTTCACGTGATAATTGTTCGCGATAGGCACCTATACGAACGTACCTTATGTAACGTAATTTATTTTAATTTATTTCGCCTTATAAAATAGGTGATTTGCCATGTTTTACAACGTTCACACCGTCGTCGATGGCGACCATTTTGATTACGTAATCCACTTCGCGATACAACTGGTAAATCGAGGTTCACCCATATTGTCCGCGCCGACGATCTCGGGTGATGCAGGCAGGTAACCTTCAGTTTAACAACCTATAACATTATATGGTTACTCGGCGAACGTTTGTTTAATTATTTCTGAGATTTTTGCATGATTCGGGGGTGGTTATCTAAATAGAAATTCGCCAGCGCAAACCTATTTGAATTTCCCTTCAAAAAGTAAACTTGTTTGGTTTTCAAAATATTTTCAGATTAAACCGATTAAGATTTTTTTTTCAATTGCCGCTCCGTGACAATGTAAACCAAACTATAGATCCCAATTTGCTCTCATCATAAATCTGAAAATTTACCTTAATTAAAGATTCCGTGATTGATAAACTTTACTGTTTTGTGTTATTCATTTTAGTGGATGTCAATAAAACATTTGACAAATTATGTCCTGTAGTAGGGAAGTCTGTTTTACATGCCTTGAATTTCTAGTTGAACTGGTGTAAATGACAAGTGAATCGGGACTGTTGATAGTGGTTCTGTTAAATAACAGGGTTTCAATTCAGTTTGTGCTGTCGAATTTCTTGTGTAAGAGACCATTTTCAGCAGAAAGTAGAGCGTGAATATTTAAAAACATTATTTTCGCGGACAGATTTGGAAATAGTGGGATCAGTCTCAAATTCTATATCTTATTTCTATCCGTGTGGTCTCAATAAAAAAAAAAAATTTTGGAACTTAATTAGCTCTCGAGTCAGGTGAGCTGGCTGAGTAGGGTATGTAGGTACACCAAAACTGGAACGCTGTGTTAACTTTGAAATGGTTATTACAGTCATAGTAATTATTATTATCATCTACCTAATTGATGTAAGCATACCACCTCTCTCTATAATAAACTTTTATTCATATACATTTAATAATGTTTTCTTATTGAATATTTTGTTGTTTTACTTATTTTGTCATTTTTATTGAATATTTTTCGCATTGGTATTTGGCAATTTTTAATTGCTATACAATCCTATTCCTAGCTTAAAAAATGAATCACGATTTTGTACTAAAATCACAGCAAATAATAATAATAATTCGTAATAATACGAATGTATCAAATATTAATTATTATAGTATGTGTTAACACGTTAACCAAAGTTCAAATAGTAAATAATTGTAAAATTCATCAACCAACACCAGTCCCGGAAAATGGCCACGTGTTCGCCGACACTACAACATTTAATCATTTAAATATTTATCCCTGAAAAATAAATAATTCGCTTAGGAATTCGTCGTGTCACTAAATAGGAGGGATTGGTCGATACATAAATCGGTATTTGATGGTATCAATTTTATCGGTATTGATTTTTTTCAAAATCGATATTTGACTCGATATTTTCGGAGAAAAATATCAATAATGTTTCTTGAATATGAATAAAGTTTTTGATAAAACTGGGTTTTCAACCAATAATTCCGCTAGTATCAATATTAACTTGTGGTTTTTGATTTCAAATACCTGATATTGGGGTTTCAGTTTTATATCATTAGTACAATATATCAATATAATATCAGATATCGGTAAAAGACGGTACCGATCTATCCACATGCGCCGGGTTTTGAAAAATATAATTGGCGCCATAATTGGTAACAATAATAAATATACAGTATTCTAACCTCAAAATGTAAAATTTATTGTTGATAAATAATCATTTGTAATAATGATCAATTGATAACTACTTGGTAATAACAATTTAGTCATGTTGATCGATTTTCATTTCTGTATTCTGTGATTAGTTTTGCCTCAGTAAAAATTAAAATGATATGAATAACTAGTGGGCTTATTGTGGTACAAAATTTTTCAGGATGGTTGAGTGCTGCTGATACAGCCTCATTTATACAACGTAATTTAGTGTACTGTGAAACTTCAGTAAATCGACTTTGACCCACTGGTGATTGGTATTAACCCGTCGCCAAAAAATGAGTCCTATTAAGACCTTTAAAACAAATGTTTATCGATTACCATTAAATGTTAAATTATTAGATACCTATAGGTTTCTATTTATGTATCCACCTTAAAAGACTGATTACATAATTTCAAGACTTATTGATGATGAACGTTGGTGAACTTCTATATGAGGTGCTAATATATTATTTAAAAACGAGTTGTATTTTATTTTAATCTAACATTTTTTTGGAATAGAGAATCTGAAATGTAAAATGCATCTATAACATTTTCTCTTTTGTTTTAGACCTATTATAATCATAGTCGTCGTTTTTGTGTTGAAGAACAAATAATGCTGCCATTTCTTTGAATGCTATATTGTTAAGTTGGCCGTTTTTAAAACCTAATAAAATACTCATGAGAATAGAAAAACAGTTATGATAACATTGATAACTCATAAAAAAACAATATGGTTAGTGATTTTAGTTAGTGGTTAGTAAAATTGAGGATTCAATTTTGTCACTAGTTTTTATGCAGTAGGCATTTATGCAAATAATCGAACGATTTTCAATCTATAAAATTTAATCTTTTTTTCGAAAATTCAAAAATATTATATGCCACGACTTATTTATTTGTTTGCAGCAAACGGATTGCGTCTCGATAATATTTAACAACTGCAATAATTGCGTCCGATGTAAATACGTTATTTTCCTCACCATTTAATACAGCGACTGTTAATAGCAAAATAAAATATTATATTGCTAATGGTAGGTTAAAAATATTGTTTTCGTCGTTAATTCATTATTAACTAAACAAATATTGATATATAATTAAAAATATATAATTATAATTATAGTAATAAAAAAAAATATAAGTATGGTTAGGTTAGGTTTATATTATTGTATACAAATGTTATACTATTATTTATGGATTAGTGAACATTTAAATGATACAGTTTTGATTATATCAAAACGTGTTTCGTTTACGTCGTATTTAATAATTTGTTTTCTTAAATTCTTATTTTGCACATAGGTATTTCACGTCTTATTTTCTTTATTTGACCACTACCGTGAGTTCGTATGTAAGTATCTTTTTAAACGGTTTACCATCTGAAGATGAAGCTTTCTTGTGCAAAAAAACCGGGACGCAATTAGTAATATGTCATTAATTTCAATTTTTATATTGGGGATGCGATTCGTGTGCAGCCAATTTGTTTGTAGCATTCGATGAAAATGTATCACATTTCAATAATTGGCACCCCCCCCCTCTCAGTCTGTTATTTATAGCGAGCGCTTTGCCCTCTGGAAATATTACGACGGGCGCTCGTGGACGAAGGAATAGAAAAATACCAATACTCGTACAAATATATTGAATCGCGCGCATCATTCCGAGTTTGTTGTAAAATTGTCGCGAACTTCACGCGAATTAACCGCGCGTTATTAGCGGCTTATTGAAATATCTCTGTCATCGTCGTTCCGCCACTTCCTACTGTGTTTAGTCAACCTACGTATGGACATTATTGTACAAACTTCTATTCTCGTCTGTATATAATACAACTAACATTATAGGACTGCCGCTAAGGTTTCCGTTTTTGTTTTTTCACCTTGGTATTGTATCAATTAAATTTATAATAATGTTCAAGTGTGTTTGTGTTAGTTACGAAATCGACTTGCGGTGGGCCGTGTTTGGCCTCAATTTTCCGTACACTTATTAAAATTGACTTAACCGCGGCGACAAAAACCAATTACCTAATTAAAATACCGCCGCCACTATCGCTATCGCCGTAAATATATGTATTAAGACTTTTGTTCGATCACGCGTTAAAAAAAAACCGTCCACATTATGATTAAATATTTTAGTTGCGGATGGGTACTAAATAATACTCGATTTTTGTTTTTTTTTTTAAATTCTAAATTTAACCTAAAAAAAAAGTACCACAGTTCTGCATGATGTAATATTTTCGCTAATGGATTGGTACTTAGCTTGTAATAATATTTTTATCACGACGGGCCTGCTGAAGATGCGATTTCAATTATATAAGGTTATTAATTAGCTATATTATTTGGGTATCAAGAATATCGAAGAGAATATAGTTTTTTTTGGCCCGCCATGATTTGCCGACGTAATATATAAACGTACATATTTTTAACGTTGAACCTCTTTTCTCTGGTAACAATCGAAAAATCATGTTACATTTATAAAAAAGACGCCACTAGTGGCATGCCCTGAAATTTTCAGTGGATGAGAGTGTAATAAATAATAATTATTATTCACAAATAAATCATAGAATCTTCGTTTGTTACCTATACCTAACTCGAAAAGAAAATTTAAAAGCCGAATCCGAAAAGCAAATTTTTATTTAATTTATCGAGCTTTTTTCCTTTTACTTAGGTTAAATATTTAATTCCTGCTAGATAAACTTACTAAATAAATATTCATATTTGTTGTGTTTTTAATCGAATGGTGGTAGGGGAAGGCGATATATCATATCTCTCTTTTCGCACGCTGCTGAATCCAACAAATTGATTCTGATTGTTTGCCTTTAATCTCGCCTTTAACAATGTCATGTAATATATAGGAAATTTATTTTCAGCTAAACCTATAGAGATTTTTCGTTTTTAATTCTATACAGTATAGTTTAATGTTTACCTAGCTATTATCAAATTTAAAGATAGCATATTATTATCGATTATTTTCTTGATATATTTAATTTAAAAATAAATAAAATATATTTTGTATTGATTCAATTTGTGTAGATATTTTAAAGATGTGACAGCAAAAATAAATCCCTCTATGTGTGGTGTCTTCTTAATTTTTTGAAAGTCTCAATACTATAGAGGGTGGAATAAAGGATTTTATTGGAGGATTATAAGTGAATTTCATTTTTTTTTTGTTGTCAATTATTGGGGAATCTTTTAAGAGGACGTTATATCCACATATGTTGTCTCCGTCTTACAACCGCGTGACAGAGCACATTTTCGTGCAGCAGGGACAATAAGGGCCGTATGTAAGGGATGTTTGAGGGGGAGGGAATAGCTCTCCTGGTATTTGTTAAGGGGCGTTAAATTTTCACGGCAACTATAAAAAAGTTTTCGGAAAAATTATAAATTATATGAATAATTCATATATTTTATATACGGGGTGATCAATCTATCATAAGACACTCATTATCTCGGTAAGTATTAACTTTTTTCGAAATTTGTTTTCTAGAACATTTAAGAAATAAGCTGCTCTACAATTTTATATTTTTTTTTATTATTATTATTTTTTTCTCTCTTATTTTCGGGTATAAAACCACTATCCACTTTTGATTTTAAAGAGGCAACCTATATTAAAAATTACATAAATAGACGTAGTATTAATTCTTTAGACTTTCAACTCACCGGCTACTCTTTTAATGGCTGTAGGTAATAAATTTATTTTTGATTATACTTAGTAGTCATTATCTTTAACTGTCTTTTTTCTTTTATTTGTAGTTTTTTACATATTCTACGTTAATTGTATTTTAGATGCACAACTTTTCAGCCCTTAGATTTTATTAATTTGTAATAGGATTATATCTGTCTGTACATTTGAAAAATTAAATATAAATGTTGGTGTTTAAGTTTTTGATTTCCGTCAATCCGTTGACGAGATATTCCACTTTTAAGTTTTGTTTGGAGGAGAGTAGTGGAGTATCATTTGTGTGACAGTACGACGTGTGGTATGTTAATAATGTACCACTTTTCTCCAACCCAAACTTCTGAAAGGAAATCTAACTGGGAAGGTACTTTAGAGAGGTCATTTTTTAATTTTCCTAGCAGTTTTCACAATATTTTTACAATATTAAACAAATATTATTAAAGAAAATACATAATAATACCTATTTAATTTATCATAATATGACATATATATTGTTGACACAACATCACTATTAACTGAATTCCGCTCAGAATGGTTTTTCGTTAGCAATGATTTATCGTTGCTTTCAGATATACATTAAATTTCATTCTGTATCCTAAATTCCCAGCTTTTCACCAACAACAGTGGCTGCTGGACTCACGTGCGAAGTATGTCCGTTTTTTTTAAACATTTTTAAATGGTTTGTTTTTTTTTCTAAATACTAAATTAGATACCACAAATCTCTATAATTAGTATGACTATTTAAGTAGTTATAAAATTAATCATAAGCAAAGTCGAGGGTGCCAAAATGTTGTTGTCCATGGGCGCCAAAATCATAAATACGGTACTGGGCACAATTCTATGCTGTTAATTTTAGTATATTAGAGTGAATTGATCTATTATCGAACTTAAAGATTAGAACATTATCTGTGTCGTGTCCACTTTTTTTTCGTAATTTAATCTTTGAGAGAGATGAATATATGCAATATCACAATTTAAAAATACTTATATCTTGTTTAAAAATTATCTTTAAGTTTGATAATACGTTAATTATTTCAATATTTAAACCATCGGCACAGAGTTGTCTCTGCTGAACTAAAATTTGCTATATCACGAGGTTATAAGACGGGAGACAGCACGTCATGCTGCTATAACGTCTTCTTAAGATTTTAACACTATTTTATCAAATTTTCTAATTCTTAAATATCTTTCCTCTTATATTTTAAATAAGTAAATACTTAGTATATTAACATTTGGTTTTTAAATAGAAACCAACGATTTTTCTTTCATTCTATGGGGGAAAAATAAAAAAATGTTATATTTGTCTTATTGCTTGTTCTATATCGGATGGTGTATGTAAAAAATATAGGTTGCCATTAGAAAATTAAAAGTTTAAGTATATTTATTTTAGATGTTTTTAAGGAGTTAGGTAAAAATTGAAAACAGTAGTGAAATAAACGATTTGATAATGGTTGAAAAAGAAAAACAGAAATTCAATTTATTTAAAAATTTAAATCCTGCGAAAAAAATCGCTGTTTTGTGAAGATATGTTGACCACTTTGTATTTATATATTAAAGCGATACGTTTCTTAGTTTTACCGGATTGAAGTTATTACCTGCAGAAATAGACATTATAAAACGGTTGCTGTATATTATTATTAGCGAAGTTAAAAATTGTCCAATATAATTTATTTTACTTATCAGATTCTTCATTCGATAAGCTCGAGTTTTCGATTTTAGTATAACAATTTACTCGAGTATAATTTAGTTTTGTTGCAAGTACGGCTATTATTATTGTTATAGATACGTAGGTATACTATCACATCATGAATACTGTAATAGTTAATACGAAACACAATCGGAAGTCTGAAGTCGATCGTACGCGTATACTTGTTGCACACTTGTTTAAAAGTTTATGGTGGAAATAGATATAGATACCCAGATTATATATATATATATATATATATTTAAAAAAAAAATCTTTATTTTCAAGTGATTTTCGTCCAGAAACTGTCGACAACGTCAATTGCAGCTGATATAATATTTTATTAAGTATAGTATGTACAGGTACGTATAAATAAATGATACATTATTACTGCCTGTTTACCTATACTGCTTCGGTACTTTATCATTAATTTAATTGAAGGTTAGGTGTATATGTCAATTTATGATGACGAATATAGAAATTGAATTATTGATGGGCAATGGTTTTTATAAATTCGGTGAATATTTAGTGACAACTTAGGTATTATATATTTTAAAGTTACAATAAGCATTTACCTATAACATGTATATATTTTAAGTTTGATTTAATATTTTTTTTGTCCGAAGGTATCGATTTTTCCATACATTTTTTATAATATAGAATTTCTATAAATCCAACCGAAAAACGCAAGTGGTTTGATTAAAATCAATGTGTCCGTATATAAATGCGCAATAAATTCCTTAAATATTCAAAATTTATTCGAACGTTAATAAAAAAATAAATTTCAATATATGTTATTTATCTACTTGACTGAGAAAATATAACCCAGGGATCATACCTACTTTTTAAATTAATTTTTATCTTGATATTAATAAATTAACAACATATACTATGATGTCCACACACTTAACTGTAATTGTCGAGGTATTCTTTGGTTCAATAACTATCAACTATTTCTAAAAAATGAAAATAATAATTAAACCATTTACGAATAAAATAAGTAGCTCCTTAATAGGCATATGCTGCCTATTAATTAGTGCTTTGAAAGAAAATGTTAACCATTTGATTGCGTTTTTGATATTAAGTTTATGAGTACATAGAGTAAACATTTGTTTAGGTTGTGTAAATCAGTTTCGAAAAAATGCGTGGTTTATTGATTGTTTGTTATATATATAATGAGTAAAAATAAAAAGCAATTATGCAATTGTAATTTTGATTACACTTTTGTAAAAAAAAAACGCAAAACTTAAGGTGGGACGGTTTTTTGAAAAAAATGGCGAACTAATTAATTCATTTTTTTTTTTATTAAGTATAACTAAAAAAGTACTTAATACTAGTGTAGTCAATTATATAAAAAAACATCAAATTCGCAGTTTAAAAAAAAAAAAAAAACGCTCAAATCTTGAGAGATAAAATCTTTTGGCGTAATATATTGGAATTCCATTATAAAATCGAAATCTAATACTTTAAGTTCACATTATACTTAATCCGTAGATATCTATTAAAAAATAGAATATTATAATTATAAGGTATAGTTTTCGAATACCTGAATGAAAATGTACCAGAATAATTTATTTGTTTTTGTTTTTCTGATGAACCTAATTAATATTAATTGAATTAAAAGTACCCATTACCTAATATAGTTACTCATTAAACTATTTTATGTTTTCTAATCATCAAACTAAACCCCACCTTTGACCCCAACTAGACTTTAAAGTATCGAATTCATATTTTATTTATTTTACTACTTGAATTCAAATAAGTATTGTAAATTATAGTCTTTCATTTTTTTCCTGTTTCATAATCTGTTGATATGAGATTATAATTATTATCGTAGCCCTTCTTAGTTTATATAAGATTATTTTTGTATACATCTCGTTTAAAAACCTAAATTAATATTTTCTTATCGAATTAATATTTTATATTTATAATAATATGTATTATTAATTTTTATCTTAATTGCTGATGTAATATATACGTATTATAGTAGGTTATAATAAAACTCACGTGTTCCAAAAAATGGATGGGAAAATGAATTAGCCATATTGTTTCATAAGTTTTTTGACCGTAGATTTGAACCGAAAAGTAGTTGTTTTACAAACTAGTTTCATTAGATCATGTGTGTTTTGATATTTAATAATATTTTTTAATCTTTTTTTCGCTTAAAATAGCCTGATAACATAGCGTATCATAGCAAATTCCATTTAAACTATTATAAAAACTCACGTGTTCCAAACTATAAGTTACAAAAAAAAAAAAAAGTCTAAAACCTTAACTTTTGATCGAAGATTTGAATTTCTTATTCTAAAGCACATAAGGCAAATATATTTTGAATTTATATACTGTATAGGAAAGGATATTTATTTCAGTTTTTTCTTACTTCTACGCTTTACACTTGTGTTGTTTATATTGCTGAAAATAAATTTATTTAAATATTATTTGATGACAAAAATTACTAATTATTCTATTTTGCCGTTCCTTAAAATATTACATATTATAGGTACAATATACCTACATTTTTTCGAGTATATTATTACCACAACGAATAACGCATGACTCAAAATAAAGTTTATCTATTCTTGACAATGACGTAATGAAACGAAATTATCAATAATTGTATATTTGAAGGATATGCATTTGTGAACCTACCATTTTTATTTGGGCTGTTATAATATAATATATTATTGACATTTCGACATTTTGTATTAACTGCAGTTTTAGTTTTTAGATTTTAATATCTAATTATAACATTACTTAATCAACAGTTTGGCTTATTAATAAATTATGATGGTTATAATAATTTTATTATGAATGTTCAACCATGTTTGTATATTAATATTTAATATTTTGATTGTATTAATATTGTGGAATATTAGTTGTACTTGACATAAAATTCCAGTGATTAGCTAAGCTCCATCACTATTGTCGAATTTCCCCCCAAATCTATTTGTCGCCGTTATTTTTTTGATCCTAAATAGTTGTGGTTGCCAGAGTTTGGTTAGTCTATAGGAGTATTTAAAAACCAGTATTTTCTGTAAAAACACAACATTTGAGCATAAAATTGATTGAGAAAAGTGTTGAAAATTGAAAGTCTCAAAAGACACATCCTTATACCATGTGTATAAAATATTTCATGCCTAGCTTCATTTGAGGGGGAGGGGGCACTTTTTTTCCTGAACAACACGGTGCAATTCGTATCAAATTTCAATAAAAATGTGTTCAGTTCAATATCTGTCTATAAAACAACCTATATTCCCGTTTTAAGCTAATTTGGTCCAGAAGGAATCGCTAAGAGAATCAAAAAGTAGTAAGTAAAAGATATATATACATACAACTCACACAATCCAGGGCAATGATCTCCATTTTCGGGAAAAATTCGACAAATTATGAAAGTAAAATGTATTTTAGATACCGAAATACTACAAATAAACATTATTAAAAGATATCGTAAACTATAAAAAGCCAAATAAAACAATAATTTTTCTCTTATTAATTAAACAAAGATACGACTTGAAATGTTGTTTAGAAAATTTCTCATTTTTTAATTTTTCAAATCTATTTATTTATATAGATGGCAACTCTACATGGTTAGTATGCAAATTACACATGTTTAAGATAATACTTATACTATAAAGAGTTGAGATTTAAAAAAAAATTGTATTTATTAAACATTTGTCTTAACGATAAAAAAAAAAATGTATTATTTTGTATGTATTTTGTCTGTGTACAAACGTTTTTTCGACCAGATTACTTGCTCCAATATTCAAATACTTCATAGGAGCTTTCCTAGCTAAACAGAGAGATCGTTTTTTTAAGGGAATTTGTTAACAGATATCTTCTTACTTTGTCTAACATACGAGTTACATACATTTCGTAGAAAATTGGAACGTTTTTCCTTCAATCAGTCTGATCGAAAAAGTCTGTAGCGAAACGATAAGAATTCTGAAAACAAATTTAAATTCAGCGTGAAATATACATGAGAATGATCTCGTTGAAGTAACATTTATTTAATTTTCGGAATTCAAGAATCGATGTTTGAAGAATTTGATTGACTTTGGTCACGTTCTTGTGTAATTCACGCTGAATTCAAATCTGTTTTACGAATTCGAATTAATCCACTGTACACATTGATTGAACTAATTGAAGAAAAGTTGGTCTTAATTGCTACGTTGAGTATATGTGTTAGACAAAGAAAGAAAGTATCGGTATTCAATAAAATTCTTATAAAATAAACATTCATAAAACAAAAAAAGTTTGTAACGACAATATGACCTTGTTTTTGGGTGGACATTCTTGTTTGGACAAAAATGTCACTGTTAAAATATGTTGAACTTGTATGCACTTAATAGCCAGCTATTATCTCGTTTGAAATAAACGTTTATGTAAACGGAGTTTATCTTAATATTGCAGATTTTATGTTTTTTGTTCATGTATATATAATATTCTTTAAAAGCTTTTAAACGAATATTTTAAGGGACGATTTTCAAGATTTATAACATTGTTGTACATCATAAATAGATCTCTGTGAAAATTCGCTGACCTGTCATTTAAACCTAAAATCGTGTTAAATAAATGAATATATTTTGCCGCAGTAAATAGTATAAGTTTGCATGATGGGGGCTGTATTCAAACTATAGGTTAATTGTAGATTATTATAACGGTTCAATACGTGACCTACAGATCATAATATTTTAATAATAGTTTAATACACGACCCATACAGATTAATTAATGGTTCGATATTATATATATATATAATATATATAATAATATATATATATATAATATTATATATCGTTATTTTATACATTATACATGTATAGTCAAAAGTATATAATTAATTTATATTTGATTGAAAATGTTTGGTAAAAAAAAAAAACCATACACTTGATATTTTCATCGAATTAAACGGCATATACTGTACATACGGCATAAACGGGGTACAATTTTTAAAACATTCTGTCATTTAATTTAGTTATTTATAGTCATTTAACATTTTATAGATTTTTTTGGCTCTTATTTGGTTTTATGTGATTGACAAAATTGTTTTAGTTGATCGGAAGTTGTATAATTCGTGTTAAAAACAAAAAAAAATTTACAAAATCCAAGTATTATTTTTTTATAAACGTCTTAAGTTTAAATTATAAAAATTAGGGCATTTCAAAACATGTTTAACCGAACTTCGCTCAGAATCGTTTTACGTATAGATATAAATTATATTACCCTATATATCCACCGTTTTTGGGGTTGGGAGTTTGCATACAAGTAATAACTTTTTATTACAAAATATTTTAGGAACGTCGTCGTGCGTCTTTGTCTATAAAAAATATCACTTCAGATTAACCCGTGAAAATTATCTAAACGGTGACGTTGTGCTAAAAATTATAAAATTATAATTTATATTTACGTAATAATTGTATTAGTGAAAATGTTAAACATATAATATAATATAACAAGTTAAATTGCCACTAACTATAACACCATCGAGTTTTATCGATAAAACTTACTTACTGTAATAACTTTTTTTAAATTTAAAATACAAGTTTACGGTATACATACATGAATAATTTAAAAAACTTAATAACGTGAAAATCAAGGTGAAAATATTATATTTTATATTAATGTTAATGTTAATTAATGTTATTGTTAGCATAAATATATCTATTTAATAGTGGTTTTTTTTAACACGATCAAAACATATACATAGTTAGCATTCCCGAATAAATGTAGAATATGAAAATGTACATACGAGTTTAAGTGTGAAAATTATAAGTGGCATAATGTGCATATCAAACATTTATATTACGGCTGTGGATTTTTATCAAACTAATTTTTGTTTTTATGAACTGATTGTATATATTTTAGTACAAAATTAGAAATTAGTATGAAACTGTTTTTGGTGAAATGTTTGATTCGCAGCCGCCCAATAAATTTATAACGATACAATGATACTACAAATGATGATCAATACATTTTAATATGTACAATAATTTGATTTAATTTAAATTATTAACGTTATAATATTGGTCAGCACTGAGATGTGCATTATTTAAAAAAATAGTGTTTAACTGGGTGTATCAGATTATAGAAGTGTGTCCATTAAAACAAAAATATATATTTTGCCTCTTTTAAGTAGGTATAAGAAAATTATATTAAATTAATTTTTTAGAGATTGTCGGATCATATATATTCTAATGGTAAAAACTTGGCAACGTTTCATTTTAGATTTTTTTCAAGTTGTTGGGCCACTAAAGAAAACTGGGAAGTTGATTTACTTTGCATAGATACACATATGTTATAAAATCGGGAGTCCTACTGAAGTCTTAACACTCTTATGTAGGTTTTTTGGAAGGACATTTTTGGAACTTTGACAAATTTTTCGACCCCTTAGTAATTTTTCTACGGAATCTTTTATACGAAATGTATGATGTGTGCTTTTAATATTTAATATAAATATAATAGAAATTATTGGTATAGTTATTACGAGGATAAATAATTATGTATGTATTTTTTCTATTTTTTTTAAAAAATAAACCCTAATTTGAACTATTTTGAAACCTATAATATAATAATACTGTATTATGAAATAAATGTATGTATATATTTGAATTCGAAGTATACACAATAATTGTATAAAATAACTTGGTTAAAGTTCATTGTGTTTCTGTAATGTTTGCTTTTGCTTGGGCAAAGAAAATAGTCGTGTCGCCGTTGGCTTCTATTAAAGCGAAATTTGTTTTATGCTTTTCCTAAATCGTTGAAGGGGTAATATTATCTTTATTTATTCTCGCACTAAAGCAATTATATTACCCTCACCCTCAAAGCACACCCTTTTTCGACAATTTCTATGGTAGGTATACAGAAAGTGGTTAAAAATTATCGTAGAAAGCCAAAATTTTGACAGAATACTTCAGAAATGTTTTTCGTTAACAATGTTTTATCGTTGCTTACAGATAAAAATTAAACAACTTCATGTATATTTCCTCCTATAACAGTGGTTCATCCATCAGCTCATCAGCAGTATCAGCTCTTTTTAGTATTGATGGTGTTTATTTTCAATATTCTTCTTATTGCATTAAAAATTTGTTTTTTAGGACTTTTATTGAGTTTATTTTACATCAAGTTTCTAATTATTCATTGCTATTTAATATTTATACAATATTCGTTAATGTTTTTGTTTTTCATGTTCGACATAGAAACAATAAAATAAGTATAAATTTAGTTTTTTTTTTTGTTTATAGGAAGGGAAGGGAGTGCACTTGACGAGTATAGCTTTTTATCGGGAGAATCACCGCTGTCGTTTTATATTTTATGCGTTCTCAATTGTATTTTTTGGATTATATGTACAGGAGAGAGAGGGAGAGATGAAGATAAAGGGAGAAAAAAGGCGCCGTGACGTCATTCGTTTTCACATCGTCGATCGATGCATCGGCCTAGAACAAATTAACCCTCTTACCGGCGGTAGTGGTCGACATTGCAGCTCTACAACATCATCAGAGCTCGTGTCTAGACTGATTATTTACGGTGGTTTGCACTTCATATAATATAATAAACCTATAGAAATATTATATGAACTATAACTACTAGGTATTTTCGTATAGTCTGTACATAATATGCACGATTATAAATAAATAATTGTATATTTAAAATAATGTATTAATATTAGATTTTCTAAAAATAAAAATAGGTACTTACTTACTCTTCGCCGAATTGTAATACCGTTAATAAGTATAACTTTTACAAAAATCGTTGGTCCCAGTGAAGAATGATTTAAGGCAATTTTGTATCATTTGCAATACAAGTAGAAACAAGTAGCATAAATTCAATTTTGAAAATTTCTAAATGACCACATACTTAAATGCAAGCGTTTTAAATGGATTAATGGCGTACAGTCACATACTTTTTTGCTAAATAAAATGAGCATCTTTGTGACTTAAGATATTTTAATCGTCTGTATAATATGTATAAAATATGCATGCACTTAACATCATTTAGACAAGGGGGTACCAACTACCTAATTAGTGGTTTCACCGCCAAAAATGATTTAGGACTGACTCACTGACACCCGATTACTCGATTACTCGTAGTCGACTACTCGTTTCGTCAACGCGTATTAATTGGTATCTGGTAATAATGGAAAAAGTCGCTGATAAATTGTGATCTCACAAAACACAAAAATAATTTGTATGTGGACATTTAAAATAAAAAAAACTTTTTTACTTTGATCAAAGAGCTATTAAAACAGCAAACAAATTTCGAGAGCTTGAATTCATAAAACAAAAAAAAAAACTGTAATCGGTCACAAAAGATGAAAACCAAATAAAAAAAAAAAAAGTCTAAAACCTTAACTTTTGATCGAAGATTTGAATTTCTTATTCTAAAGCACATAAGGCAAATATATTTTGAATTTATATACTGTATAGGAAAGGATATTTATTTCAGTTTTTTCTTACTTCTACGCTTTACACTTGTGTTGTTTATATTGCTGAAAATAAATTTATTTAAATATTATTTGATGACAAAAATTACTAATTATTCTATTTTGCCGTTCCTTAAAATATTACATATTATAGGTACAATATACCTACATTTTTTCGNATAATTGTATATTTGAAGGATATGCATTTGTGAACCTACCATTTTTATTTGGGCTGTTATAATATAATATATTATTGACATTTCGACATTTTGTATTAACTGCAGTTTTAGTTTTTAGATTTTAATATCTAATTATAACATTACTTAATCAACAGTTTGGCTTATTAATAAATTATGATGGTTATAATAATTTTATTATGAATGTTCAACCATGTTTGTATATTAATATTTAATATTTTGATTGTATTAATATTGTGGAATATAAGTTGTACTTGAAAACCAAATAAAAAAAAAAAAATAGCTGATATGAGGACGGGTGCGGTCACTTAATTTTACTTGTAATCAACGATAAACTATTACTAACGAAAAATGATTTGGAGCGAAGTTCGATTATACGTGTTTTGAAAGGCCATAATATTTACGATTTGTGTGAAAATTTGATTTTGAAACTTCTCTAAAAAATGAAACAATACATGTATTTTTTTTAAAAATTCAATTTTTTTTTTTTTTTGATTACTAAATAAATCTTATAAAGAACCACCTGTCAAATTTTCAAGTATTTCTGTTTAGTCTAACAATTTAATCCATAGAGTACCTACCAAATAAAAAGTACAAAATAACTCAAATGTTTTGACAATTTTACTACGTCTAGAAAAAGAAAAATATGAGTTTTCTTTCAAAATTTCAAGTCTTAACGAATATTTTTAACTGAATTACATTTAAAAAAAAAAAAAATTAAGTAATAAAATAATTATATTATTTTTATACATTTTTCCGTACCGTCCACGTATTTTTTGGTTTGCTCAATTATTTAAAAAAATACTTTCTTGGTTACCAACTAGATTAAAATTTTTACCAAAGTACCTTGTTTTTCTATTGGAGCAATTTAAAAACAAAGATCGTATTTTTCGTCCTTTTTTTGGTTTTTTGCAATTATTATGAAAAATACTTCCGATACTTTGTAAGTGGCATTATATTAAAAGAAATAATCGATCTAATAAAATAATAAAGTAAAAATAAAATTATTAAAATGGTTAATACTGGGAAATAAATAAAATAAATATAGCAAATAAATATTTAAATAAAAATGTATATATAATAATAAAAAAAATAAATGAATCAATGCGTCGCCTGGAGGATTATGATAAGTGTATTATACGACCGATTTCGAATTAAAAATTAATCATCAAGTATATCACAGTCAAAATATAAAACGTGAATGAATATAAGAAATTAAATGAAGGAATACAAAGAAAAAAAATTATACAAATCAGTCGTTTTACATAGAATACAGAAATAATTATTTTTAATAGGAGAGATCATTTAAAATTAGTTATTATTGACATAGATATGTTAAGAAATATAAATTATTTGGTTATTTTTTATATTCAATCGTGTTTTACATTTTCACTGTGACATACCTGATGATGAATTTTGAATTCGGAACCAGTTGTATGATACACTTATCATAATCCTCCAGGCGACGTATTCATTCATTTATTTTTTTTTTTTATTATTGTATATACATTTTTATTCATATATTTATTTACATTATATATTCGATCTCTTGTCATTTTTCAATTGGAGCAAGATTTCTGGTAGAAAACATAGTTTTCAAAATAAATGCAATAAAATCGGTAACGCAGCCCCGCGCCGTAAATATTTTCCGTTTTACCTATAATTTTCTTTCGGGTTTTTCCGAATTATTTTGAAAACCTCTTAGAAAATCAAAAAAATGACCTCTCTAATATACTAACTAAAGCAAATTTCCTTTTAGAAAAGTTACCTACTATAATTGTGTATATCGGAACAAGTTTTCGAAAACTTGTTTACAGACAAAAAACAAATACAAAATATACATTATAGTACAATCATTAGCTACACTCTGAATCTAAAATTAGTAAAACGATTATCATTTGCAATAGAACGTTAGGTATAACATTTACAACTAATTTGAATGACATAAAACATCCCTTTTATCTAAGAATAGGACGATTTGTATAATGGAATACCTATTAAGACGAAATAATATTCCATGTTGATTAATTACTATAAACTATAAAGTTTAAATATTGATAGTTGATTTGAACTATTTTCGTGATTTTTACATATTATTTGAAATACTATTATATTAATCGAGATGATGTGACCAATGTTTTACTAATGCGAATCGAGTAATCGGCAAATCGTTTCGACACGCCAAAAATAAGTGTGAAAATAAAGAGCGGTAGTATAAAATTTTAGATCTTCATGTTTCTTAAATTTCTTAAACACGAATATTGAAAAAATGTCATACTATTTGAGATATGAATGTTATGATGTTGATTGCTCTGGATGCCGAACACCACGGTGTTCCGATATCGCCACCGATCGTTTTTTCAACATTTGAATATAGTTGTAATCTGGTGCTGAAAACAATGACCTTATTGCTACTGAAATTAAATGACACATTTCAGTGGCATATTTTCGACTTTTTCTGGGGTATTTTTTGAAGAGGGTTCAATATTAAATATGTGTGTAAATTCTGATTGTTTAATCGCCCAACTGTAAAACTATTGTTATAGTTAGTTACAACTAACTATAATCCATCAATAATCAATTATTCTGTGTGATAGAATCTTTATTATAATAGGTCCCTTGGTACAAAGGAAAAGGATCCTTGTTTTTATCGCACTTAATATTATGTAGTCGCAGCTCGGAAACCGAATATAGCACAACGACATAAATATACATGATTTCAAAATTTATTACTTAACTATGCTGCAGCAACATTTATCAGATTTGACATTTTTATTTTTTGGCTTTGGGAGGACCCCTGGATCTCTATTAAAAAAATATGCGCTACTTGCACATTTGTTTATTAATTTCCTCAGTATCTCGAGTACCCTTTATCGCTCATTTCGATATATATATCTGTGTGTGTGTGTGTGTGTGTGTGTGTGTGTGTGTGTGTGTGTGTGTGTGTGTGTATTATGTATACATATTTATTCTATTCTTGTTTCAGTGCACTAAATAATGAATTTTACTCTCGTTTTGTTAATATTATTTTATACGTGCATTGTGTTATGTAATCTGTAAATCTTTTGTAGTGATCGAGCTGCGTATTATTATTTTAAACGAAGGTTAAAATAAAATAATATATAAAAAGCTTTGTCCAAATCCTGCGACCTTTATTTACTGCTGCATTGTGAAATATACTAAAATGTATTTTATGACAATAATTATTATTATTATTGTCATCGAAATTACGAAACTGTCAGCAAATGTTCGAATTTTTCCTAAATGTATACATAAATTATTTCTGTAATACTAACTAATCACCGAATATATCACATGTTTAAATTATATACACAAAATTCATAGTAGAGACACCAATAGAAAACTATCACGGTAGTCTGATGTGTATGGAAGTTTAATATTTTTTTTTAATCAAGTAAAAAAATGTTAAGTTGTCGATAATCCATTCGCATAAGTTCACAGAATATGCAGAGAAAAATTTAGTTTATTAATATCGTATAATAACAATATGCCATTTAGTTAAATTCTGAGTGTAACAAAGACTGTATTGGCTTTAATGACTGAATGACTTGTCCCAGAAATATTGATATGATTTTCAATTGTATCATATTTTTGAAAGCAAATTGAATCTTGTTTGTGTATTGGAAAGTTCACTGATTTCTTGGAATTTTCCTTATAATTGGGAATACAATATAGGAAACCGGGAAAGTGTACGATACTATTTTAAATTTTCATAAAATCGTATCAAGAAGCGTATATTTTACTAGCATTTTAGCAATGATTTATTGTTGCGTATAAATATAAATTATACATCTTTATGTATCCTACCTTCCTAACTTACCATCTAAAATTATAGAACATCCATCAGCAGTATCAGCTATTTTTTTTTTATGTATTGGCCAGGTAAAACTCTGAAAAATCGGTATTACTGAAATAGTACAATTTCAGTAAAAAAAAAAAAAAAAATCCTTGAGGCACTTTTTTTGGGAATCTGGCATATAAAATATTCCCTTCGCGAATTACTCTTAGGTTTAACTGTGCTAAAGTACGTTTTAGAGTTTTATTGACTATATGAGTTCTATAATGTTGTATTTTTTGTCATAAACAACAAGCCATTCTAAGAAGAAGTGAAATATTTTATCGTTTTGAGAGTTTTAGAAATGATTCTATAAAGAAAAAAAATAGTCACATTAATCCATAATGATATTTTTTTTAAAATTTTGTTCATACGTTATTTTCATTTTATTATATATTAATATAACGATACTTTGAAAAAAAAATACCCTAAGTTTATACATTGAAGAAATTTAAAAATATTATACCTACTTAATACTTATATACTATAGTATTTACTAATTTTAAAACTAGATCGCCTACTTAAAAAAAAAACTAATTCAAAATAAACTGCAATTTTGTTGTATAATTAATAAATACCTAAATTATGTCATAATCTATTACCTCCGTTTTCTGATAATTACATCCTATACATTTTAAAATTTAAAATTAATCTATTCGATTCTTTTAATTAGGTATATTAATTCAACTGTTACCAGCATTTTATATACATATATATATATATTAATATTATTTGATTTTTTTTTAGAGCCTCGTCGATTGGAATCGACCGATGTTCTGGCAAGTCGGATCCTTAGGCCCAAAATATAAAGAATGGGTTTTGGCGCCTGTCGATCGAAAGCTGAGATTATTTGGTTCTGACTTTATCGAATCGCTCACCATCACTTCCTGGTATATGGTGCCATCGATTTGGATACCCGTAATGTTGTACCTGATATTTATTGGTTACCAGAGACTAAGGAGTATTGTAGATCAAACATTATTAGGTAAGTTTGTAAATACTGAACTTGATTGAATTATTACCGTAATTTTATTATCTACTAACTATCCTGCTTGCCGCTTTACGGCCTTGCCCGTGACAAAATAAATGCCCTTACCATTATTATATGACAATCAAATTCAATTATTGAAACTCTTCATTTATGTAACTATGTAATATGTATAAAGTTTTCCTGTCACATTATTCCTTTATAACAACCAAATTAAATAATAATAGTTGTTTTTCTCTGTGTAACCAAGGTAACACATAAATCAACATAAAATATTTGATTTTTGTACCGAAAACCCCGTGTTAGCCCCAATTAGGGTTTGAATTCGTGGTCATAGTATATGTTACCCAGAATTAATGTATAGCTTTTTACCAATTCTACCAGTGAAATAATTTTTAGAATCAGATCAGCAGTCCAAGAGATTACCTCTTACAAACATACATACATGCCACGCCATACAATCATACATACATGCATACATACATAAATACATAGATACATACATACAAACATACATAATACATAATACATAATACATGCATACAGCTTTTCCTCTTAAAAGTTAAAGTAAGAAAACTTATAATAATAGTTGTTTTTCTCTGTGTTACCAAGGTAGTTCTTAAATTTACAAAAACGTATATACAGTAGTGCAGGACGTTAATTTTTAACGCTTTTAAATAGTGATTGAATTTGGCGTTCTACAAATCAAAATATTCAACACCAAAATGTATTTAAACTATTGTTCCATCTACTTACGGAATTTCCAATAAATGTTGTAATTTCCAAATTATAAATAGTAATTTCACCCCTTAAAGTGAGAGTGGCAAAAAAAAAGAGAAATCTATCATTTTTCAGAGCTACCTAAAAGGCTACTAAAAAAACAATATCGAAAAAGTTTATACTTATTACAAAAAAAAAATTAAATCTTGCCAGCCTAAAACAAAAATCTAATCTACCAATCTACAATGAAATATGTTTCCTAATATTGTAAGCCTAAATAACCTTAATCGATGAATAACCATAAAGAGATCAATGGAAAAACCCCATCGGGAAGGTTTGGTATAATCAATCGGGTTTTGGTTATCTTCGGGAAAAGTATTAGGAGTCCTTAGAAAAGTCATGACTGATATAATAAAATCATTATTTTAATTTCATATATTGTGTTGTAATAATACATTATGTATGCGTTCTTTTTTGTTTTAAATATTATATTTTTTCAAATAAGTAATAACTCGAGTAAAAAAACTTCTGTACTATATTATACTATATAATACTCTTGTGTGTGCGTTAAGAGTGCCAAAATGTTAAGTCAACTGAACAGGCAAATGTTGGCGAGACTCGACAATTTTTAGGTCATGACGTCAAACACTATATACAGTGCATTATAGAATACTGCTCCACGCGCTGCGTAAAACGACCTACACGATTTTATATGGTCAATAAAAAGAAATAAAAATAAAAAACTGTCTTAGAATAATTAGGACGGGTGCAGCCACTGTTGTAGGTGGGAATTTGGGAAAGTAGGATATAGACAGAAATTTAATGTATATCTGTAAGTGATGATTTAACCATTGCTAACAAAAAACGATTTTGAGCAGAGTTTGGTTGATAGTGTAGCTTTGTTAACAATATATATAATACATTTTGGTTAAATAATTACATATACATTAAACATTTTCTTAAATAATATTTGTTTATTATTGTACCTATTTTTTTTTATGTTTTTACCAATTTATTGAGAAAACTGGAAAAGTCCAAAAAATTACCTCTCTAAAGTACCTCCTCAGTTCGATTTTTTAATCAGAAGTTTTGCTCCGATTTTCAAGTGTAGCAAATTTTCTGAAAGGAAATTTAACTGGTGTGGTACTTTAAGGAGGTCACTTTTTGATTTTTCCAGGGAATTTCATATTGAAAATAACGGTAAACTGGAAAAAAAGTAGGAAAATTTACAAAATGTATTAGTTTAAAATCGTAAATTGTGTAGGTTATTCTAAGTATCGCAAAATATTGTAGAATACTATAGCCAATCCTTGTAAATTAATTTATTATATAGACGATACCTATGCATTTTTAATATATTTCGAAGCTCTCGACAGTTGTTTGCGTACCTATTATATAAAATAATAATAAACTTAAAATAATAATATATTCATTATCATATCATTCTTATCATCGTCGATAAAAAATATAACGTTAAATAAACTTGTAAAAAAAAAAGAAAAAATTTAAAATATTTTATTTTACGATTTCACATTCAACGCTACGGACGTTGCGTTTCAAAAAAATTCACGGTACCTGCAGGCTATAGGTAGGTAATTTAAAATTCAAATATAGAATGCAGATAATGTAATATATGATTATATTTTTATTGTATAACTCTTAGTCCGATGGAAATCCGCAGTTGAAATAGGATAATTTCGAAGGGGGACTATATTTACCAAAAATTGAGGGGCTTCCCCAAGAACTAACTAAATCCAACCAAACTTTTAGTAAACCTATCACGGAGGCAATACTTTCAAAATGGTTTTTTCACACATTTTTTTACAATAATTTTATGCCAATAAGGTTTAAAAATATACGTAATCACCACAAAATTTTATATATATATATATATATATATATATATATATATTATAATTCTACTTGGATATTTAAGTTAAAGAAAGTCTGATTATGTATAATTTAATAGGTATTAGAGTATTTATTTCGAATAGAACTAATTCGAGTTTTTAAAATGTCATTAAAAATACTTCATTGATAACTAAAGCGTTCCCCTAGACTCCGAAGATTTATACTAAAAGAGACGGATAATTTGACTTAAAAAAAAAAGAAGAGGAATCGTATTATTGTTAAAATACAAAATAAATATATGACGTATCTCAGATATACATATGTATATTATTTTATTTGTTTCTCACATTTTAATCTTAACAAATTCTTTCAACAAATCTTTTTAGAAAATATCGAAATACTAAGAAAACATAAATGACAAGACGTCCCAGACTCCCAGTTGTGGATTCTAGGGATAATGGGGTAATTACTTCTCTCCTCCTTCTTACCTACCAAATTGAGTATATTATAATAAAAAAAGAGCTGATACTGGGAACGGGTGTGGCCACTGTTGTAGGTGAGAAGTAAGGAAGGTAGGATACATAAGATTATTTCATTTATATCTGTAAGCAACGATAAACCATTGCTGACGAAAGACGATTTCGAGTGCAGTTCAGTATTACTATACATAATTTTTGCGATTTTCGTTTAAATTTGATTTCAAAAAGCTTATTAAAAAATAAAAGTCGTCCGATGATTTTTGAAATTTCATCACGTTTAGGTAAGTCCAATCTAAGTATTAATACCAAGTTTCAAGTGCCTACGTGTATTTATATCCGAATTACAGCAAAAAACTCCCAAAAATTAAAATTTTTAAAAGCTCAAAGGTGGCTTAAGAGTATCGCCGATGAAAGTAAATTAAAAAGGCAACAAAAAAGGTGCCTTGTGATTTTTCGATTAAATCATGTTTTCTGGTAGAAAACGTGGTCTGTGTTTTTATAAAATAATGAAATCGTGAAATTGTAAGTTTTTTCCCACTTAAGTGCTTTTATTTAAACAAATTGCGTCGAAAATCAAAAAATGATCTGTTTAAAGTACGAACTAGACAACTAAATCTATTAGAAAAGGGTCTATGCTTTTGTGCAAGTTTACAAGGAATAAACTTGTCCATAGACTAGAACTAAGAAAAAAAAAATAAACAGCATTGTAAAACCAATGCTACGCTCGGAATCTAAAATAAAATAATAATTGTATGAAATAGTACTTACAAATACAATGAAAAACAACTAAGTTGATCATTCTCAAACTAATGGTTACAAAAAATATTAGTAGACACTACTTATTATCTCCTCCCCCTTGAGAATAATTTTTGAATCAGTTACTGAGACGTAATATAATAATAAGCGTTAAATTTTAAATCCTTAATTCTACTCAGAATCATTTTTTCTTTTAATCTTTTTAATGTAACGATTTATCAAAATTATTTAGTAATCACTTAGAAATCACATAGGTGTACTTATATCCTACTATACCTTTCATACATTTTTCATTTTCAGTAGTATAGCACGTATTATACGTATAATTTTTACTAATTTAAGAGGAAGGCTTGCGGGTTATTTATTGCGTAATATACTTTGTAGTATGTTCCTATTAGCAGCACTTAGAACCACGAGAAAAAAAAATGAGACATTTTTTTTTACCTATAAGTAATAATCTTAATTTCCTATCTCTAACTATGTATAGTTAAAAAACATTTTAGCGATTTAGAGGCTATTTTAATGCATTTGACGTTTTCGAGTTTTTCTAGGTTTTATTTGGTTTTATGTGGATACAATTGTTTGGCTGGAATTTTACACGATATACATTATAAATTATACTTCTTGGCACAACAAATTGAGCGTAATATGTAGTCGAGTTTAATATGGACATTTTAATAATAAACTTTTACTAAAATTATAAAAATTACGGCATTTTAAATCATATATTACTAAACTTCACTCAGAATCCATCGTTCCAATTTCCCTCCTACAATAGTGGCACATCCGTCAGCAGTATCGGCTCTTTTAAAAAATAATAAAAATATATCATTATGTTGATAATAATTGTACCGTCAAAATTTTACAATGATTTTTCGTTTAATTGTCTGAATTATAATATTAATTAATAATTTATAAAATATATATTATTACTTTTTGAATGTGATTGCGAGTTATTCCAAAACTGTTTCCTTTGACCATTGGCGGCGGCGGGTAGCTTATTATTAGGGCCAGCAATTATATGCCTTAAAAATGTATAAAATATGTATGCAGTTATATTCTAAAAATTACCAAAATATGTTTAAAAAAAAAAAAAAAAAAAGTAATATTCTATTTTTAATTAAATTATTTATTTTTTTATACATTATACTATAATTGTATTATAATACAATTATTGTCAATGATTTACAATAATGTGTGGTAATTTCTTCATCTGAAAATCAAACAAAAATGTTTAATGTTATTAATAAAATAATGGTCAATAAATAATAAGTTAAACTAAAGCATTTATCAAATGATAAATATTTGAATTCCTATCCGATGTTTTTGCATTGAACAATTAATGATTTGTGTAAGTTTTTAAAAAGCTTTGACCGTCAATTGTCCGTTAACAAATTTTTGTATCGTGAAAAAGAACGTTCTACTTATTTTACTTTGCGCAGTTTCTATTAGTTTAATTGAGTCTGCCAGTAAAACATTTTGGTTTTCTAAAGATGTTATGGTATTCGGTAAAAATATCCATAGTTTGAATGAATAAAAGTTAAATTTGCTTCAACTTGATCTTTAGAAATTAATTTTTGAACGTTGTCTATTGAAACGGCGTCTTCGGGGTTCAATTTCTATATTACATTTCGATTAGCTTGTATATATTCGCCATAATACATTGAATCAGAAATCCATGTATCCGTCTTGTTACTATAGTCATTGAAGGCAATGGAATACCTGAAGCCTCAGTTTTAATCAAATCAATACGATTTGGCGCTTTTAAACATATTTTATTTTGTGATTCCCGGAGTCTTTAAGATCCTAAATATGCTACAAAACTATACTAAATACTAAAAAATGCCTTAAAAGTGCAAACATGTCATAATATGCAAAAATAGACAAAATAAAATTGCGTATACAGCATCGTTAGGTTATGAAACAAATTTTGGCATAAACTAGCTATTTTTTTGACCAACCAATAAAAATATGTAAATGCATACAAGTTATGTCCCTACTTATTATAAATTCATTATTCATATAGTTTATTAAGTTAATTTTATCGATACTGGTTTTTAAATTTGAACGGAAATATTATTGTTATTTGCATACTTTTTGAATATATTGATTTTAAATTAGCGCAGGGTTGCGGTGGATTTAAAACAAAATAATATATTCCGATTAAACTGGATAATAATAATCCGTTGAAAAAGTCACTTTTCCCAAAACCGCAGAGGACAAATATTGCATCAAGAAAGTTAGTGTCCTATTGTTAACCTAAAGCTTAAATCGATGAAAACCCTAGAAATATTGGTCATAGAAATCGATTACAGGATTCTATAAGTTGGTGTAACTGATTAGGTTTTTGTTGTTTTTAGGAAAAGTTTTAGTCCCCATTTACAGATATTAAAATAGCATAAGGGATTTCACCAGATTTAAATTTATTTAATGAATATTGCGCAATATTACACTGTAATTATACAAAAATCCTAAACAATACAAACAAAATCCGATAAAAAAAAAAGTATAGGTACTGTACTTGTTATGTAGAAATAAATCGGAATGATAAAACGATAAAAATGGTTCCATTCCATAACAGATGATGGTGAGCTGATAATGATGTGGGACAATAATAGAATAATAATTTATGATGAACAAAATAATTGCATGTTTTATTATGAATGTTCATGTTGTGTTACAACATTTTTTTCCCGATATTCTATTTTGTCGGTTCCGGTCAAAAATGTCGGTATTCTGATGTCATCATATGAGGAAGTGGGTTTAGTATAGATCCCTTTGATCTTTTTAAAGAAAAGTGCAGTTATTATTATCATTATTATTTCATCATAGCTGGATGATAAAGATAAAGATAGTAAATTTAGTGCAAAAACAACTTTCTTGTTAACAAATAAACAGATAATAAAATATATTTATACACACCAATAAACACAAAATACGCGAATAGTAAATAAGAATAAGAAAATTATACCAGTCTATTATTTTATATCACAAAACATACTTATCAAATACAATCTACACCGTCAAAATCGACCTTGTCGTTTTTCTGTACTTGTGTAGAAAAGATTACAATATAACCGTCGCATGGAATTCGCTTTATCTACTGCAATGGTGACGCGTGACGGCTGGTGATAGACAAAAAGTTTACACTCTAATGCAATCACAAAAAAAAAAACACTATTAACTATCGTTGAACTGTTATCGAAAAAAATTCGAATTACACATCAGACGAGGTCTGATTAATTTAACAGTTTCGAAGAACAGAATATTCGATTTGTTTAGTAGTATGCGTACATTTTTAAATTCGGAATTCAGAGAAGAAGCTCTTTTTTTACAACAAGATACATATATTTTCGCCGATAAAAATTGTGTAGACTTTTTAACGCGGTACCTTAATGATGCGAATTTTCCGCTCAGTGACAGTGGCTCAACTAGGGCCCCAGTGTTACTTTTAATGAAGGAGCCCAATAATGATAGACATGACATACATTTTCAATTCTATATATATTTTTGTAACTCATGCAAACATAATATATTTATAAAAATATATTAATACTTATAAGAATACAACAGTAATTTAGTTATTTTTATACTTATACATTTTATGTATGTGTACACATTTAAATAATTACACATTTATAAATTATCACTTAAGAAAGTTTTTTTTTCGGTTTTGAAATTTGCAAATGTAGAAATATTTTTTTCCAAATCTAGTTTATTAGCTACATATCTTTCTATATTTAAAATTGCAATATTGGAAAGGCGATCCTGACCATTCCTTAAATACTTTTTGATTAATTTCAATTTTGAAAATAACATTTCTGATGTTTCAATAATTGTCGAGTGAAATCTGCAGATATGCCATCATTATATAAATAAAAAAAGTCCATTGAAGCCTCTCATATTATCAGACATTTTATTTTGAAAAGTATTGACTCGTGTACTAATTGTAGATACTAATCGAAGATAGTTTAACAAAAACACACTTTCAACAAATAAAACAATTTCGGTAAAACAGTAACCCATAAATCGTGACGAATAGACCACAGAATAAATAAATGACGTGACAGTGTAGCGCTGAAGCCATTGACTAGTTATGCTATCAGTTTTATGTTGGCATTATTAATTATCACCGTACTTTCCCATTTTATTTTTAACCGATACGAATTCATGCATTGCTATCGCTATGGCCACTGCCACACAACACCATCTAAAATCTACACATTACAGTAGTATACTGTACATATATACGACTATAGGCTACTTCATATTTATAGAATAATATTACGATTTTTCGATAACACATCAATGCTAACATACCGATCGCAAATACTAGATAATATACAATAATATACTTGTATTTTTTATATTTTCACATTTCCCATTATATTATATTTTATTGTTACTAATGTATTAGTTCTTTGTTGTCCATATTTTGTGAAATATGAATCGTACATTAAAAATACGATTTTGATAAAAGTTATCAAATACGGAAATAGATTATTATTATTTGGACTGGGGCCCCTGCAGTTTGTGGGTCCCAGAGATCGACACCCCCCCCTTGGTAGTTGCGCCACTGCAGTCAGTGGTACTTTATTTAAAAATGTTTATGAAATTCTCAATGGTTAACCCCTAAGTTCTTTTTTTCTCTGAAAACGCTCTTTCGGTTAATAAAGACGCTTCAAATTGTTCACATTGTATACATTAAACGATTAAGGTTTTTTCGCCCGATCGTATTTTATTTAAATATTGTTTTCCTGTACATTTATAGCAATTTTTTTTGAAAAATTAAAAACATTAATAGTGCCAATGACGATACTTTGATTGCATTTATGTTGATTTCTGTGTTACCACAGCGACTACAAGGGAAAAAACGACTAATACACACTATAACCTTACCATTTAACCAAGCTCCCCTCAGAATTGATTTTGGATTGCAACAATTTATCGTTAATTTCAGTATACAATACCCAACTAAATAAGCTCTTAATAACTTCCCACTTTGTCTACCATGATGCGAAGTATCTGGCTTTTTCCAAATGATATTTGTATTCAAGGGATATTAATATGATACAGTGAAACTTGTCTTAACGGACACCTGGAGTATATAACAGACACCTCTTTTAACGGGCAAAATAATAATGTCCCGGATAGGCATTCCAATGTATTTTGACCTGTCTATAACGGGCTCTTTCTATTACGAATACAGACAGTAATATTTGTTGCCAATACCTCAATAACGGACAACTATCTTGATTCTATATTGCAACCTTGTACCGTGTAGGTACATACATACCGCGCAACAGCGTCGCCGGTCTATTTCGAATACCGAATATAACAGATTACACGTTTGATAATAAGGATAAAATAAAAATAAATAAATAAAGTTAATTTCGAGAACCAAAATAACCACCAAAAACACGTTTAAAACGTAGAGACAATTCAGTGTTTATTCCGTTTCGCTTCGTTATTATTGTGTTACTGTTTGTTTTAATTTTTTCTTTACAACGCCACCTCTTGTACCTGTCTATAACGGACATTTTTTTATGGTCCCGTAACTGTCCGTTGTATACAGGTTTCACTGTAATACGATAATATCATTATCATTACTATACCACGCGTCGTCCTTAATAATATTCGGACCGTGTTTAATTGTTTGCAGAATTTTCGGGGACGGTGGTGTAGACGGGTCAAATCGATTTAATAAAATGTTTGCCAATTTATATCGCCCTTCCTCCTTCCGCGCAATAAAATTCTGAATACTGCACTGGGCGGCACGAACCGTTAGCCATCCCGTATATAATTGCAATCGAGGAAAATCGATATTGTCAGCATACTCTGCACGAAAAATAGATGCATTCACGCATTTTAGTATATTTTATGGCGTTAATAATCTAGCGAAATATAAACGGTTGTTGTCGTGCGGAACCAACGCTGCTCTGCGATGGCTGTTCAGCTATGTAACTGACCTCGCCGCTGCCTCCGTTTAACTATTAAAAAGCACTTGTCGGACGGGAGGGCCAGTCCCGCGAGAACTTGTTCAAAATATTCGCGGCTCAACAGGTTCGGCGCGGAACTCTTGTTCGTCTCGGCGCGGCGGTGGCCACGATACACTGGTATCCGCACGTTACGCCCGTATCCCGGTAAGACCTCGGCGGACTCTCGGAAACTGCTAAAAAGAACCGCGCGCCCGGCGTCAATACGAAAAGTCGCGCGTTTTAAGCTCGTTATCCCCGGAATATTCAGCCCGAGGACCGAACGGATCAACAGAGATGTGCTGATATAAAACCTCATGTGTGGGAGAGAGCAAATTTGAACTCCGAGGGCGGCCATTTAAAACGCTGCGTTTAATTATCTACACGTGTTTCTATCCTTCGAAACGAAACTCTCCGCCCGCCGGAACGCGTTTTCATGCCGAATGTTCCGTCTAGATGTGTATACGTCTGTGGTTATACGCCATTATTGTATACGACGGTAGTACAATGATAATAATAATAACAATAATATAATACTATTATAATGCGCTGCCGCCACGGGAATATAGTAATATTTTTCTGGGCGGCGTCTCGACGTGGCGCCTGTCGCCGGTCTGACGGCTCGCGCGGCAGACGCCAAGTCGCCGGTTATAGTATAAGCGCGCGCGATTCCGTCGGCGCGCCCGTGCCCTACGCACGCACTCGTGCACACGACCGGAGAGTTGTAATATCGCTACGAACGGCGGGGTGGCAGCGTAGTATCGATCTTGGCGGCGGCGGCGGCGACGGCGGCGGTCATAGTGGTGCAAATACCGCGGCCACACGAACGGGCAGACGCCGCCGCCGTCGTCCGTCATTATATTATTATTATATATTCGACGACGATATTATAGCGTGTGTGCGCGTAAATACTATGCACATACACATACACGCGCGTCGTCCTGACGCCGCCGCCGTTCCACAGACCTATATATTATAATAATAATGTTATTCGACCTACCGCCGCCGCCGCCGTGCGGTATACGCGTCCCGTCCCGTCCCGTCCCGCCGCCACTAACCGCCCGCCATTTCGGGCGGGCGGACGACGCGACTCCCTGTTGAATTTTCGCACGCCGAACGACGCGAACGCGACCCGTCCGCGGTCGCGCGACCGCCTTCGCCGCCGTGTGCCGTCGTTCGTGTTTTGTGCTTCAGCGTTCTGGTGGCGCGCGCGACTCGATCGGCACTCGGTCCGAATGGTATACAGGGCGATCGTAATATATGGATCAATACCGATCGATTTATTATTGTAAGACGCTCAAAAGAAGTATTACATTTTTTTCGGATTTTGTTTTGATTTTCGAAAAATCTAAGAAACCCGCAGCAATTTCGCAGAGTATTACATCACGCCATCTATTCTGACGTCGCGCCATCGCGCAAACGATGCTGCACTGCTACACTCGCCCCGTATGCCTACAAAACGACAAAGTCAACATCTTGATAAACTTAAACTTCGTTTATTTACTTAATTTTTAATAATGAATTCGCAACAAAAGGGAGCTGCTAGCGTGATGATATCACGCCCCGAATACAGAGCTAACAAAAAACGAGAGTAACGATACATTTATTAGAGCCGCTTATATTGTTTCTTACGTTAAAATAACAGACAAAACCATGTTAGAAAAAGTTTCTCATAACATAACGAGTGTCTTATATTATGTACGGAGGAGTGATCGCCCTGTATACGCACGTCCCATTCTCTCTGTATACAGCCGTCGCTGTCATCGATTTACGCGCTCGCGCGTCGTTACAAAGTGCTGCTACTGTTATTTATCGGCGTGGCCGTTATATATTGTGTTTTATTGGTTTCGGATTTTTTTTTCCTAACGATTGATAACGACGATTTCTAGAGTCGCACATTAAATTTGATTTTTTTTCCACCCGTCCTCCGGTCTTCCCATTTTCGCAGTGCGCTTATATATATATACGCCACGATATCTATTTAATGACTTGGAAAATGTTGTTTTCGTCGTAAAAAATAAATTACAATATTAAATTAGTTATAATATTGTATACCGCCCCTAATGTCACGACGCGTTGCCGTATTTACCCCTTTTCCTTCTCCCACGAGAAATCTTATATTTGTACATATCAGTTTATAAATTATTTTTTTAAGTTCAATGCGATTTGCCCTACACCGTCGGTTTTATTCGTTTTTGATTAATTTATTATAAATAATTGTACGATTTACATAACAAAAAAAAAGATGGACATAATTTCGCATGATGAGTGTAGCCACTGTTGTTGGTAAAAAGTTGAGAAGGCACGATATAGAGGGGAAATAAATTTGTATTTATAAGCAACGATAAACCATTGTTTACTAAAAACGATTCTGAGCGGAGTTCAGTTGATAGTGATGCTTTGTCAACAATATATATGTCATATTAAAATAATTAAATAGATTAATAGACATTATATATTTTCTTAATAATATTATAATAATAATAATATAATTTTAATAATATTTGTTTAATTTGTCTACGTTTTCCCCGGTTTTTCACATTTGCTGGGAAAACTCTTGGGAAAATCGAAAAATGACCTCCTCATAGTACCTCCCCAGTCAGATTTCCTTTTAGAAAAAGTGATAACATCGTAAATCAAAGCAAAATTGCTGGTAAAAAAGTTGTATCTTTTTAAAACTAATTCAAAAAAAGATTAATATATAGATATACTAGCTGTTCCGCCCGGCGTTGCCCGTGCCAAATAAATGTGTAATAAAAACGATTTCCCCCCCTAGATTTCTTGTTTCAATATCCGTCACTATTACTGCAGTTAACCGTTGTTGCCCTTAAATTTATTTTATTTATTTTTATTTTCAAACTTATATAAATTAGGTATACGGTTGCTAAGCAATGAAAAATATCTGATACATTTTTCAGTTTCGTGGCGATCGGATGAACGGTTTAGGAAGGCATAAGAGACATCACACACGTACATAGGTTAGGTTAGGTTAGCAAAATTAGCCAAATCGGCCCAGCCGTTCTCAATTGTTATTGGCACGCGGGTGCCACGGAAACCAATAATAAAAAAATAACCACATAGAGTGTATATTATCTCTCCATGGCAAAATAATAATTGTTGAATATCGTGCGTGCTAGTATACTTTGACTTAAGAGGCCATAACTCCGGAACCACTTATCGCAGAGCATACAAACTTAGATAGTAACCGATTCTCAGACCTACTGAATATGCATATAAAATTTCATGAGAATCGATCAAGCCGTCTCGGAGGAGTATGGGAACGAACATTATGACACGATAATTTTATATATAAGAAGATATAGGAGGATATATAAAGTAATTTAATTTTTATCTGTACGCAACGGTAAACCATTGATAACGAAAAACGATTCAGAGCTAAGTATTATTAATCGCATTTTTTCCCCCTCGTTGTCGTGGTAATTGGGAAACCAACACAAATTATACAAAAAAAAAAAAAAAACTATCAGTTTTTCCCATTTATTGCGAAAACTACAAGGAAAATTAAAAAATGACTGCGCACCTGATTAGATTCGCTGAGAATCTAAAAATAACAATTATTATGTCGATTTTTACGATTATTGCCCGATCTCGGTTCACGCGATCGAATATTTGACCTATACACTCCATAACGTATTGAACTTCAAATATTTAATTGATTCGATTAATTTGGTGAATTATAAATTTCGTTATCGGTATATTTTATAAAATAAATTGATAAAAACTTGTGCCGTTCAAATATATAAACAGTTACAGTTGATTCGTTAATTATTAGACGAATCTCGCCGATGCCATTTTTATCAACAAAAAAAAACTGTTAATCTTAAACAAATATGTATTCATTTTCTCTAGCGAATTCTTTGCCCTAGTGATTAAATTGATTTCTACAAACATTATAATGCGATCACTTTGTAGAACCAAATATTTTTAATTTGATTTATTATTGTTGTATAGAATCCCGCGGAAAGTTGAAAATCGAGAAGCTTACTCATTTTAATTGAAATTCGATCCTGTTTTTTGTAACTGTATACCCACGCTCGATACTGTTTTTGATTTTTTTTCTCCATGATGATACTTTTTAAAATCTTTTTTTTTTTATCCGACAAACATACAATTGATTATAATATATTGACTGTTAATTAAAATATAGAGATAATATTTATAACTTATAACTATTGTTCGTAATTAATATATACTGATTTCCCTGCGGTGGCGGTGTATACACTTGATTTATTTTCAAAACATTGCCTCAAACAAAAAATAATTTTTTTACCCATAAATTTTACTTTGGTTAAAAGTAAATAAAAATAAAATTCAAAAAATAAAGCCACAAAGCTCGAGGGGACGGGCGATCCACTTTTATATTTTATACGAAATATACATTTTCTCTATCTATAGACAATGTACGATTTACTAATTCCATTTAAATGTTCGGCATATTTTAATACAAGCTTATAGTACACTGCGCCAATTTTTAATTTTTTAGTATTTATGGTATGTATTGAAAATTTGAGATGGTGTTTTTTTAAACATAATAAATTTGTAGCTATAAACGAGTTTTTGTTGATTGTTATAATATAATTATCTGTACGTGAGATAATAGAACATTTTTTTAATTTTTAATTTGTTTTTTTTTTTAGATAGTTTTTCGATAGGGGCGTGGGTCGTATGTTCAACCGTATTGGGTCTACTCCTGTGGCCTCTTATCGAGTACACCATCCACCGTTGGTTGTTTCATCTGCAGCCTCCAGACAATTCGCCGTTACTTATCACGTTACATTTTGGCATTCACGGACTACATCACAAGGTATGCATGTTTTTTAAAATAATTTATTATCATAATATTATATTCTCGGGATTTTATATGGCGTAACACATATAAAAATATTATTACAATTATTATCATCTTAAGTATAATTACTATAATTATTATTGTGATAACATTATTTTTAAATGAAACGGCTATTCGGCGAAAAAAATTCCCGTTTCCCCGCGTTATCTGCTACTCGCACGCGAATTTTAAGAGGACGCTACACCCACATCTCAGTTTAACTACTAACGGACAATGTAGTAAAATTACGTTTCGTAAAACCTATACTATGGCGTTTATGTCGAAATTAGAGTTCAAGCACAATTATTTGTGTTTAATATTTTAAGAGGAGAATATTTCCGCGGACTGTAATAGCTTTTTTCTAAAAAAAATTGCCATACAAATGAAGTTCAATTAATAAAAAGAAAAAGTATTGGAAAAAATACTCAGGTTGTAGACTTAATTAAGTAGCCAAATTTGTCACCATAGAAAAGTGAGAGCTTGTATTGTGGACGTTAGTTTATATTTTTGATATTAAAAATACAATAACTATAATCATACGAGTAATTTTCAATGTATTTAAAAACCAAATTTTTGAAAAAGTAAACAGATATTTTGCGAAATAATGAGTGTTTCATGTTTAATGAATTACTTTGTACCTATATCTTTCTGTATCTTCGGTTTAACAATAGATTGACTACAATCGTTTTTTGCGACAGCCCGACATACGGTTATATTATTTAGTTACACAAATTTTAAAAAACAACGATATTTGAAAACTGTATGCGCGTTTATCAGCCCTGAAAAATATTATGTTATTTGATTCCCATACGAAAAGGAGCGTGAAAATTACACTAATAGAGTGATTTATCGACACGGCCTCAGCTACACTTTAAGCGATTTTGCGTAGGAGAAATAACGAGTTTGTTATTATATTGACTATGTATGATAATTGTAATAAATCGTGGAATGTAAAAGAAATTCTTCTCGTCGAATAAAATCTATTAATAAATGTATCTTTATTTACACTATGCCGTAGTGTATTTATTTATTAATGATCGTCCGTTGAATATATTAATTATTTTTATATTCTACATATATATATACATTTAAATAAACGTCTTGGGAATATATTATTAGGTACATTTGGTTTTTAGTTTATTAAAAAAAATACCAATCAATAGAGTATATAAGCATACATATTATGTAATATAACGTGCTGGATCCTTTGAGATAATTTATTGAAACTCGCTCAATGCATCATAATATTATAACATCATATTACAAATTGAGTGGAATAGTATACCAGTTGCAAGCTACGAATGACTCCTGAAAATATTATATTTTCAAAAGTTCTCATATTATCATTAATACGCGGAGTTATCGTATAAACAACAAAAACTACTTTAAAATCGCAAAAAAAAAATTATTAACATATTATATAAGGTATACATAATTATTGAAAATAAACCTATGTAGGTACTACCTACATCACAAAAATAAGTGCTAATATATTATAATTATAATTATGTATAATATCTTATGATTTATTATTCATAATCTATGTTCTTATTTTCACCTTAATAGCCATTATCATTGATGACATCACAAAGTCACAACAGCTTTTAATAAATTTCCATTTTATCCTTTATGGAACTTTTTTTTTTATTTATCAAATAACGCTTGTGTCGTTTCTCTTCACTTCATCCGGTCACACTCCTAATATTATATACTTGCTACAGTCCTCGATTACTCCATTCCCTTGCACTCAGCACACCACTCTGCACTTAAAACACTCGAACTTATCGAATCAATTTATATATTATTATAATTTGACCTCTGAACATCAAGGGTTTTTTATTTTTATTTTTAAAGTATTTTTATTGTTTCTATAATATTATATGGTGAGACGAAAAGGGGGTTGTTAACCGCAGGTTCGTTGCTAAAATATAGTAATTAATTTGCTGTGTTGTAACAGAGGATTCGTTCGGTCCATTGACTTGTTTTATACTCTATAATTTAACGCGTAATAATGTAAAAACGATTGTCTTGGTATTTAACACAACAGGCAAAAACTCGTTATCTAATTGTTTCCGTTATTTATAAATGGCACAATTTACCAAACATTATAATTTAACTTTGAAGTAGTGCGAATTTCGCTCTCAAAACCGTAGACTTATTTTTAACCCTTAGATTTTATGTAACAACTAATAATACCATATATTAGCAATTAGATGTATAAAAGTGTATGGGAATTTATCACGATAAAATTCAACGTGCAAGTAATCGACATTTTACGGTATACCTACTCATGTACTCTAAAATAAATAAGTATACAAATATTATTTAAAAACTAATTTAATTGAACAGCAAATATAATATTTTGGAAACAAATTTTAGTTTCAAACTATGGGTTCTGGTAGAAAATATTGTTTCATTGGTGCTTTGAAGAGGGCGTTTTATGATTTTCTTATAATTTTCTTAATAAATAGGAAAAAACGTACGGGAAAACGGAATGAATTTACGATAGTAATAATTTCTTCATTTTAGATTTTTTTTGATTTTATTTTTTTACTAAAAACCCTGTTTCTAATATTGCATATTTTCTGAAAGAAAATGTTGTTTAGTTATAGTGTTTTGGAATTAAAGGGTCGTTGATTCATTAACCTTGTAGTTTTCTTAATAATTTTAAAGAACCGAATAAAATACATGTTTTATTGTAATTCGATTCAAAAATCGTAAAGATCTAACATGATCACAGAATACTTAAATTAACCGAATTTTGTTTAGAATCGCTTTTCATTAGCATTGAATTGTCGTTGCGTACAGATATAAATTAATAACCTTATATATTCTACCTTTCCAACTGTATACTTATCAACAGTATCAGCTCTTTGTTTTTGTTTTAATATTACGATTTACCTTTACTACCTGATTTTACAAGATACGCGTATTTTTTCAAGGTATATAAGAAATGTAGGAGAAAAATCTATGACCGCAAAGATATAAATAACTAAAAAAAAGAATTTAACTAAACTTGTTGATTTTAACAGTATCTAAATTGATAATTGTGTAGTTAAGTAAATATATTTGAAAAACATCAAAAACGATGGTAATATACATGTTATGGGTATTATTTAAATATTCAAATATTATGTTGAATTTTAATATTTCTAAACAATAAATTATTAATGTTTTTGTTTTTAGCATATTGCGGTTATTAACTATTTATAAATAAATACATTGAGTGACGGTATAAAAATTAAAAACAAAAACTACTTTTAATAATACACACATTTCGCAACATGAATGTAAATAAGTACATCCCACTTACACTCAAGGTAATTGAATTTATAAAAAGAGGTTTACAATGATAAATCTGTGCTAATTAAAAACGATTCTAAGCAAATCAGTTAAATATGTTTTGATAAACATAAATTGCATTCATTTAAATTACAGTTGTCCATAAACTTTCACCTAATACTTATGTTAGCATTTTCTCAAAATAGTGAAATGTTTAAAATATTTTATCGTTTTTTAAGTTATTTATAAGCATTTTACATTTTAATCGTAAAAATCATGGCATTTCAAAGGGTGGTTAACAATCAAATTTCGCTTATAATCTTAATTCGTTATTAATGATTTATCGTTGCGCACAGATATAAATTGAATAAATTTTGCATGTATACATCCTGTATATGTATATATATATATAATATATTATACATAATTTAGTGAAAAACAATGAAACCTACCATTTTCACCGATTACTTATATTAGCATTTGCTGGTATTAGTATAATTTTTGAGTCAGTTACTTATATTTATACAGTTTTCTTTTTTTTTAATAAGTTTCAAAATTAAATTTTGAAAAAAATCGTAAATATTACGACCTTTCAAAACACGTATCGTTTTTCGTTAGCAATGGTTTATCGTTGGTTACAGGTATACATTAAATAACTTTATGTATCCCACCTTTCCAACTACCCACCTACAACAGTGGCCGCTCCCGTCCTCAATATTAGTTTTTTTTATTATTGTTTTTACAAAACAAAATGGCTTCAATACATTTATTTTATTAATATTCGTACAATTCTGCTTAGTTATCCTCCGCTTCAATTTAATATATTCTCACTTTTAAGAATTTCATTAACCTATTCGAATACCGGAGATAAATATTCCAGTGAATTTTACGTGGGTGCATTTTTTTCTCGTTGCAAATTAATTTTTTTTAATTGAGAAAAAAAATCATATAATTTAACGCGGAAAATTGAAATTATATACTAGTAATATATATATTCATCAATGAAATATAATTAAGTACATGCGTAAATTCGTGTTAAGAAATTATTTGTGATTCTCATTTACATTGGAGAATGTTTATTATAGTTTTATTAAAATATGTGGTTCTTTTTTCTCGAAAAACAATTTTGGTGGACAATTTTCCGTTTTTTTCATGTAATACCGCTAAAATGCGGAATTTTCGTTCAGTGGTACTTTATTTGAATCTGTGATATAGTATGCATGCGTCTTATCTCAATTTTTTTTTATTCTTTTCTATAGGTATTTTCTCAGAAAATCATGCAAAAGCCAACAAAATTAACACTAATAAAAGTAATTCATCAATTTTTTTTTTTAATCATTATTATTTTTGATGGTTTTAGATTAAACAACTTTTATCGAGTGTAAGTTTACGCTAATTCTAATATTAAACGAAAAACATCGTTTGTTTTTGAACCGTTATTAGCTATAATAAAATACTCTTAATCTATTTATTAATTATTAATCCATAGTCATCGAAACGCAGAATACGTTGTATATATTTACATGTACTATGTATCTAACCGGTTAGTAGTAGTTACACAATATCACAATATAACATTCTTCATAGATGAAACCTTTAAAAAAAAAAAAAAACAACTATAAAATCGATATTATATTATGACTTATGACGGCTACACGCAAGTATACGAATAAAATATTGTCTCGATTACATCTATTCATTATTGGTGATGGGCACGACCTAATAGTCATATTCGATAGTTGATGATGTTTGATAAATTGAAAATTTTTTCAAATATGTAGTTATTCGACGGAATGGGAAAAACTATTGGAATGTAATTGTTACTCACTTTTGGATATTTTTTTAATTGTCCACCAGTAAAAATAGCTAGTTTATACTGAAATGTGTTTTACGGTTTAACTGTATTGCTGCTCTAATATACAGTGGTTTAAATTGCATACCTTATATTTTAAATTTTAGTGTTCCTGTTTTTCATTTATAACTCGACAAATTGCGAAGTGGAAAATAACGTTTACGATTTATAAACAGATATCTTGTATACGTAATACCTATCTACGAGCTGAAAACTATTATAAACGGGTACCCTCAAATTAAATATTGTTCGTTTATTATATATATGTTATTTATTTTTCAATTTACTAGAGTTTTTCCATTTATACAAATATTAATAATTTTTATTGTTTGGTTTTCAGATTGAATAAAAATAATTGTATAGGTGCCGCGGTTACGTTAAATAGAAATAAGTAAATCAAATACTACAATTTACAATTATTTTTTGTTGACCATATTTTAGGGTAGTTCTTCCACCATAAAAACGGAATAAAAAAAATTCACGTAAGAAATGAAAACATTTTTCCTCTTTGGTCTACCTCACGTGATTTTGCATAATTAATCATCGTGCGTTATTTTCGATTAAGTTCCGACATGTGATCGCGAAGTTAGTGAACGGGCTTTGAAGTAATTTTCTGCACGTATTTTTTAGGACAGTGTATTATATAAGCATGTCGTCGTCATCGTTACAAAATAATTTAACAATTATTTTTATTGGGAATTGAAATTAAAATATTCTGTTAAGAAAATATTCCTGGGGACTATACAATTTGTATTTTGATCGCGATTAATCATCTACTATGGATATATGCACCACCAACCAAGCGGTTCTTACGCAATTGACTTGTCCTATTTATTATTAATATTATTTTTTTTTATTTTTATTATTATTATTATATATTTATCAAAAGGGTATGTTTAATATTTTCAATTTTTATCTGTATAACTTTATAATGATGACATTATTTTTCACTCGTCAAAAACTCGTATTTGTTTACCTATATAGTCAAACTGGTACGGATATACGATAAAAAATGTCAAGTGGAAGTGGTGTATAATAATATGTTTGATGTGGTTTTATATTATTCAAATTTAAAATTTACGAACATAATGCATGTTATGAGTAAGGGCGTGAATTTTTAATGAATACATTTTGTTTTAAACATTATATTTATTATTGTTCTTAGGACCAAGTTGGAATTTACATTTAGGTAATAAATAATAATGAATTCAGTTTTAAGACTTTTATTTTGTTTTAGTTGGCATTTTCAATTTTTTATGTTAAACGCATTATTGCATTGACATGTGCATTATTCGGAAGAAGGAAGTGTGAGTTAAGTAAACTTTCATTAGTTGATTTTTTTTTTTTAGAGTTTTTAGTGTATTCATTTCACAGCTCTATTGTGAAGTTTCAAAGGATTATAATATTACAGAGACAGGGAATGTGATGATGGCGATAAACGAAAGAAAAAGCTTTTCTTCTATATATTACCTAAAGTATTTGTTTTTCAGTATATTATAAACCGTTAATTTCTCCATCATATAGAAACCAAATTATGCAACGAGTATAATATAATACTGTATATTATTTTGTAGAGTATTGATTATAATATTACGTCACGTCATTGATACTACCCACACACACACATGGTTAGTGCCTATTATGGCTTGCTGATAATATTTTAAACAACTCTATAGGCAAAATAAACTGCAGACATGTTATTATAATTTTTGACGTATTATATTTCGTTAGTAATTTATTACTATTATACATTAATACGTATTCTCATTATAATATAAGAACAAAATTGGTAATATTTTATAGCATACATTATAAGTGCGTAGTATAAGTATACTGCATAATATTATTATCGATGAAAAAAGGTATACTAAAACTAGACGGTTTTATTGCAACGAACAATAATTCATCGATATATTAGATATTATACAGAGTTATTATTTTATCGTGTGCAGGGTTCTGGACTTATAGCAATTAAAATCGACAACGAATTTTTAAAAAACCCTGGCTAAATGATGAATTAAAAATATTTTTTAAAAAAAACATTTTTGTTTGAAAGTTATCGAAATAAGAAAAAAAGAAAACACTCATATTTGATATAATATATATTTATATATTTAATATTTTAAGAAAAATTTACTTTAAGGAAATCATGATCCATCAATTATAGCTTAACTCAAGTTAAAATTAAATAAAGGAAGAAAAATTCAATAATATGCCAGGCTTAGCTTAAAATAAAAGCGAAACTCGATTTTACATCTTAATTTGTATTTTTATATTAGTTGCAGGTTCAAATTGAACCCCATTTTTTGACTATTACGGTAATTTTAATCATGATCAAATCTTCCGAGTTCCTGCCTTGAACACAGAAATACCTCTACACACAAAACATTTCGATTTTTCTGCAAGAATTTAAAATATTTACCTAGTATTAATGCGGGTCTCGGAAAACTGTTTAAAACAAATTGTTTAATATAATTGGCAAACCGTTTTGAAATATACTTAATATAACAAGTATAGTGATACGAGTATAATAGGAATAATTTGTATTCAAGGTCTCACATTTACATATCAATATCTAAAATGTGTACAAAATTATACTTTCGTATTAATTAAATTACTATATAACATAATTAAATAACAACTACAAAGTAACTATTTTTGGTATTTTAGTTAAATTATTGAACGTGACTATTGAAACAGAAATGTCTATATTTATTTTTTTTATTGCAATACAGTTATAACTTTTTTTTAAAAAACCTTATTTTAAATTCTGAGTGTGACGAAAAAGTAATTCTTAGTTTTATTAAACCGTGATTTTTTTTATGGAATATATTCACGGTCAGTGGCAATGTTCCGAGTTTTTCACACGGAACTTCCGCCAGGTAATACTTTATTTGAGCCATTTTTCTAGATTTTCGACAAGTTTTCTTAAAAATACAATACCTGACCATCATCATATGACAATATATCGATTTTATGTTTGTTCATTTCTCGCAAAGTACCAAACATGATTATTACTGTAACTTTCCTGGTTTACCAAGCTCCACTCAGAATCGTTTTTTGATCACAATGATTAGTAGTCACTTTTGAGTGTAAAAACTAAATTGTCCATTATTTTGTACCTACCAAATTTCCTACTTACAACAGTAGCCTACCCATAGTTCGAATTATGTCCTGTTTTTTTTAACTAGTAGGTATGAAACTATATAATACGTACTTAAATTACTTTGGTAATTAAAATTTTTAAAAACACATAAAATTACTCGCTAGACTATACTATATCCGCAGTGCTCAATATTATGTTTCTGCCCTAATTACTTTGGTTAACGAGTTTATAAACTTTGATTACTATATAGAAGTTGCATTAAATTAACACGATTTTGTTTTCGAGTAGATACACCGACTTGTGCGACAAAATTTACGCAATAAGTAAACGAATAAATTATTTTAGATTCTGAGCCAATATATCAGCATATTGGTTTTACTATGACGTGTGCGGTTTTTTTTTTTTAATCCGATTATTATTGTTACACTTTTCGACGATCAGAGCAAGATTTCTGCATTTTAAAGACCATCGAAAAAGAATGCGGCAATAGACTAGATATGTGAGGAGAAGTAAAAATCCGCTTCTTAAGGCAATGACATATAAGAACCACATAAGGAAAATTCTGAGAATTGAGGTGGGAAGATGTGGACGATTCTTGAGTGAACTGGAAGATTTAGGGTAATAGATAGAAAATGGATTAGAAAATTGGTAGTGAGCTAAGATGATCATAGAGGCCGAATAAACAAGTGAATAACTCTTAAGATAAGATAGAATTTAACGCCTTGACCGCTCAAAAAATCTCAATGATTAACACGAACTAGCACTCACTTAGCAGCAGCTCGTGTTGGATTTAATTTTATAATACTTCATTTTTTTTATATATTTATAATTTCTCGTTTTATTTTTCGATATGAAGACTTAATACAATTAATTGCTTGACGATTAGAGGTGCGTATATTTGGATTCAGTAGAGCCAAAAATTTATCTATAATCCGATTCATGTAAACCTGTATTCAAAACGACAGGTGAGCAAAAAGCTGTTTATTTTTGCCATTTCTTTGGTCCGATCGATTTGACTTAACGTCGGTCGCAGACGGCGGAGAGGATCCTTCGAAAAAGACCGTTGCCGAACCTAAAGTAGTATTCGAAATTGTTTTATGTACTTTTTAAAATATTGAAGACTCAAACGACTCAAAAGTTGTACCTTTCGAAATGCTCCTCTATTTTTTTTTTCTTTTAGTATTGAAAGAAAATCTATTTGTGTTGATTAGAAAGAATCTAGTCCAATGATTAGAAAAGTAAACGGCATAGATCACGGACAAATTATCTAGATACAGATAGCGAAATAAGATGTGAAATTCGTATAAATTACAATTCATCGAATATTTTACGAATATATCTAATAGTTTTTCCAGATATTTGGCGTAGATTATGTCGTTTTATAGTTCTTTGAAACGAAAAATTGTGTCCATAAAATGTATCAACTAAATCTAAAATTTACAAAAAAGTTCCGTCGATTTTAAATTGGATTAAGATTTTTGGTAGAGAAATTACAAAAAAATACATTTTAGTAAAACTAATACATTATGTTTCAATCGAAATCTAAAATAAATATAAAATATTATAGGTATGTACCTTATTAATATTAATTACTTTTAGTAGACAAATCACAAACATCATAGTAAAACCAATACATTCCTTCAATACGCTTAGAATCTAAAAACCCTATTAATATTATTATTCGTTTCCCGTTCTTTGTAATCGCCATTACTCATTATAATATAATATATATAGTTTTTGGTATTAATTCCATTTTCGTTTGTTTAAATATAATATGATGGTTTATTTCGTCTTCTTTATACCCCTCAGATACCTAATCGTATATTTTATTAAACGCGACGTAGATTCCTGCAAACCATTTAGTATATGTGATGGTTTTTATTACTATACTATTTGCTAATGTACCATCGACACAGGAAATATCCCAAATAATTTACGAGTATATAGTAACCAAGTGCATATTTTATTGTACATTTTAAACCAGGGGTGGCCAACCCACGATCCGCCTCGGATAATTTTATGAACCGCAAGATTTATCACTCTTTTACAAAATATGTTTATTTCTGTGCAAACAATTTCCTATTTCAACAATTTACGTTTATATTAACGAGATGAGCGTATAATATTCCGGAAGCCTTTTCGATGGGGGGGGGGCACTTTTCTCATTTAAATTACTTTTTGTTATCTAATTGTATATTACATAAGGTAAAAATATTGAATATTGTCCCCCCTCCTTCACAAAAATGTCTGTGGCTCTAATGATTATAAAATATTTTCAAAGTGGCCCCGTTCAAAGACCGTTTGGTCGGTTGGCCACCCATATTATAAACACTCGACAATAATTTTATTAAGCAAATATTATAAGTGTATTTTATATTTTTATAAAAGCCTGATATTGCTTATGGTTATATCACTGTAAGTACATATTTATTAGGAATTTGGGAGGCATGATATCTTGAGCAATTAATTTTATATCTTTATTCAACGATAAACCATTTTGAATAAAAATCTGCACTGCTAAGTATAAATAATAATATTATATAATACACAATATTATATAATACACAATATTATACGCTACATTTGTCAAAACAAAAACCCCAAGAATAAATATATTCTATTCTATTAATTCTATTTAAATAGATTTAGATATATTTACTGTAATTTGCCCCTCCCGTCTCATTTAAAATACTTTGATGCACTTTTTATATTATATGCATAATATAATATATATGATAATTTGCAAAATACTCGTCTGTATAACATATACTGTAGTTTTCAAACACGTATTTATATTAAAAAAATTATTATTTACGCTACGCTTTATATTTGCATACAAACATGTAGTACGATAGAATTCACAGAATGTTTTATACTGTATGATAGTCGTCGTAAGGATAATAGGGATTGCGGTTCTTAATGTAAGAATTTTCACGACTATAATATAAACTCGCCCACGGCGCTTAGCATTAAAATAGTCGCGTGCTTGATCCTGGTCTTTTCTGTTTATACATTGAAATTCATAGTCTTATGGACCTAACAAAAGATTCTGAATAGCTTACGTTTTGTATAACATCTCTGACATATTTTTTTTTAAAACACCCCCGACCCCCCTCCATTAAAATATTCTCGGGAATGCCCTATTTTATTCAATTCCTCCGACGTTTTAACCGTGCGTAGCAAACTTACACAAATGACGTTTTGTTATTTCAAGTGACATAAATTAATATTTAAATCAAACGTAACAGAAATAACACATTGCAATTGTGACTGAAGTAAATATAAAGCCTTTACCCAATTAGTAATTGATTTCCTCTGTTTTACCAGTATTTAATTGTTATTAATATTTTGAATATTACACGAAGATGTCGCATGGCCAGTTTTTAGGGGGTTGCGTATAAGCAATCCTAATGTCATTTTTAAAGGAGGGAGGGGAAATTAAAATGTATCAACCTTAAAGTATTCAAATTTATGAAACATCGATTAGGTTATTTCTCAGAAATATTGTGTTCTAATATATATTATATAAAATAGTGTTTATGGGCGTATCAGACAAAACTATACATATGATGTACTCGAAAACGCGTCGTTAAACCATTGTACACTACTTGTACCTTGAACAAATTAATAATTTACGTTTTTAATAATGAAAACTACGGGGAGATTCGAAATGAAACGCCCCGACTAATGGTCTTTCATTAGTAAAAGTTAAAAAAATTACATACGGTTTTAAGTAAAATACTATTTAGGTAATAATAGGTCCTTTCAAAAGGTACTGACAAAAAACTGTTCCCGTATAAAACAAAATATACGTTTTAAAACAAAAAAAAAAAGTATCGATTTATGATCTTTATTGTTTTATTGAAAAAGTCATGAATAATACTTATCGTATATTATAATTCGCAAGGTTTTTTAATATTCAGATTAAAATAATCAGCATTGTAGATTCGAAACATAGGATCTATTGGTTTTACTATGTGTACTATTTAGGTATCACCAAACCATTTGGATTTTGTATAACCAACTGCAGGTAGTATTATTTAAACCATAAAGCCGAGTTATACGTGCAAAAAGTGATACAAGTAGTGAAAAGAAAAATGAAAAAATTCTAATCTTACAGCAGTAAGCACTGTTACAATGCTAATACAATGTTAATATGATTTACTAGCGTACATAGACATGCACGTGTAAACCTAACATAACGTTTCTTCGAATTGTTTTATTGTAAACAAAAATATTTTAATAATATCTGAGCAAAAGAACGAAGTAAAAAACTATTCGATAATTCATTCAAACTATCGAAATCTATCCTATAGTGTCCATCACTAACTTAAGTTTTTTTTTCGGATTCGAACGCTATAGGAATGCGATTTTTCGGATTTTTAATTTTAAACATCGCGGCATGCAGAACATCGAAACAATCCAGCAGGTTTAATAACCTGTCGGTGGCACGTGTCCACTTGTCGAAGGGTTCTGCGAAAATTGTATACGTAGCTCCTCTTTGCATTTAGTCACGAGCGTGCGTCGACGTACCTATAAATACCACACGTGCAATAATTATTAATTTGTTGCGCATCCGTCGCGTCTTGTACTCACAATATTAATAATATATATTGTACATAATATGTGCTATTATAATCGTTGCCGTTCCGTTTTAATATTGACGAACACTGTATAATTATCATTACTATCTTATACTCTGTATATATATAGTATTCTTCGCGGCGTGCGATCGCGCAACTAAATTGGTCGATTAAACGATATGTTTTCTGATTGTTTTTTTCAATGTTTTAGTCGTTTGAAATAATATTCTTAGTAAATTATTAGCGGCACGAATACGGTCGTCGTCGCCCAAGTTTTGTCACGAGTGCCGCTTAGACGATGGTTTTTAATTAGATTAAAAACCATTTTTGTCGATAAATATTATCGAAAAAGTCTACTAACGAAATCGAAGTCTGTTTTGAAAATCAAAATCAAAATCGGAATCACAGTTTAATAATAAAACCTTGCCAAATAATACGAAAAACTACGCGTCCAAATCTAACTATTCTACGAGGCGTAAGAGTTTTTCCCACAAGGCTCAGACAGCCTTCACCCATCTCGGAATCGTTTTCCTATTGTGACGATTTTCTTTTTATCGTTATGAACAGTATAACATTATTATAAAATAAATTGCCCTATATGCGATATTTCCCAACTTTCCCTCGTATACTCTAGAGGTCTACCTATCATAAGCAAGATTCCTTTTTTTCTTTTAATAACCTATAATCTGGAAATAGCTAATTATCGTATAATCGGATGGGTAGATAATATTACGCATCAACAGAATATCATGGAGCAGTAGGATCTTGGCTTTTAGCCGTCTTCGTTTTGATGTAAACAATGTTTTGTAAAGTATTTTTTTTTTGCGTTTTGGCGATTTTTGTCCAAAAAGAAAACAACTTTGGGAGCTTGGAGTAAGCTTCTATTCTAGTCTTCTATTTCAATGATTACTTAATGATAATTGTATTGAGATTGCATGATATTTGTTTTTGATCATCGACATTCTCGGGACAAAGTTTTGGTATAAGTCACTTGAAATGTTGCATTTCTCTGCCAACCAAAGTTTTGTCATCACAACAGAAGAAAAATTCCTCTCTAGAGTCAACCCTCCCCCCCTTAAAAAAATGAATAAACAAACAAATAAAAGTGCTTTTCTTTTAAGTCCATTACAAACTCACAAACACTCAAAAATCATATTTTACAAATACATCAAAACGAAAAAGGTTATAGAGAATCTATACAAAATCGGATGAGCTCGGAAGTCACAGAAGCCAGTGATATTAATCCTATTGCTACAAGATGCTCTGTTGGCCTGAAATTTATAAATAGTCTAGAGAAATTTTTTAATACACCTTGTGTATTTATATATATTGTAGCGATATCCTATTCGAAGTCATTTTTTTCGTATGTAATATATTTTTTACTATACAGCAAAAAATTGGAAAAATACTTCGATATATATTTTAAACTCGAATCTTATATATATATTTTTTTTTTTGTAAACAGGTGCCATTTGACGACCGGAGATTATTGTTTCCGCCAGGGCCCGCGGCCGTGCTCATATCGGCTGCCTACGCTATTTATTTGATGCTGTTTCCTCATTGGATGGCACCACTAGTATTGGCCGGCATGATAGCGGGTGAGTAATATAATTTTTTGTATAATATCTTTTTCATCCCCCATTAAAAAAAAAAAGAAATGCGTCACTATTAAGGTCGAGTCGAACTTTCCTCATTTTTTTATATGATATAACTTTATAAAACAAGAAGGTAACTGAATATACTATAAATAATATGTGTATTATAAACCAGAATATACTATAATATACTACAATTATACTACTTCCAAACAAATTATGCAATTTGAATAGAAAAATGGCAGGAGGTTGAAAGTTAGAACCCTCAATAGGTACATCTTTGGTACTAATGCATATATAAAGTTAAATTCTCCTGGCTTATGTGATAAGTCTGTAGTGGTGTTCAAAGCTAAAAAAGGAGTCCTAGGATAATGGGGACCGGTGCAGCCACTGTTATAGATAATTTAATGTATACCTATAAGAACAATAAACCATTGCTCACGAAAAAATTATTCAAAGTGGAATTCAGTTGATAGTGATGCTTTGTCAACAATGTTTCTGTAAATTTATAGTAAAATAATTAAATAGGTTTTATATATTTTCTTTATTAATATCCGTTTAATGTTGTATCGATTTTCCTAGTTTTCCAACGTTTTTCTCGGTTTTTCCATGTTTTATCCTGGTTTTTCACATTTTCCGAGAAAACTCTTGGGAAAATCGAAAAATAACCTTTCTAAAATATCTCCCTAGTGAAATTTCATTTTAGAAACATTATTATTATTAAAATTTCTGGTAAAAAAGTTGTTCACAGAAAAAAAAAAATCGTAATTTATATTTATTATATTTCGTAAATTTTCCCGTTTATTTTTTTTTTTTTTCGGTTTTTCGCATTTGATGAGAAAACTCTTGAGAAAATCGAAAAATTCCCTCCTTAAAGTACTTTCCTGCTCCGATTTTATTTCAGCAAAGAAAACAAGTCTTCTGATAGAAAAGTTGTGCAAAAATAATAATAAAAAAAAATAAAATTTTTATAAAACCATAAGCTTCTTCTTTCGCGTGTAACTTGTATGTGCATGTTGTCGCCATCTTACAAACGTACGACAGCAAGTTTGCGTTCAGCAGAGTATTATCAAACTTAAAGATAAAAACATTATCCGGGCAACATTGGCGCCATTTTTTCGATATTTTAATTTTCAGGTGAAATTATGTGAAATATTCTATAATAATACTATACTTTAATAATCTCATTAGAAAATTGAAATATCGAATAAATAACGCCAGAGTTGCCTAGCTAATGTTCTCATCTTAAAATTTAATAAGTCAATTCACTCTTATGTTAAAACTTATAGTACGAATATGTCACTGCTAAACACAAATTTGCGATGTCGTACGTTTATAAGATGAACACGGCACATACGGATATTACGTCCTCTTGTGTTCAATTAATAAATAGGTAGTGATAATGAAAATAAAATTTTGCATTTTTTAATAACACCCTTCTTTAAAAATTCCTGGCTACTGTCCTATTAGTTTTTGAAAAAAAATATTGTTAACATGTTTTTAAATTATACAGGTCATACTTTTATTTGTTCATTTTTTAAATTTAATATATTTTTTATTAATATAGAAAAGTCGTAGTTTCGATTTTCCTATTTTTCGATAGGTTTTTTAACGGCTAAGTTAAGAGTCTCTAAAATATGTAGGTACTCGTTTCTTTATAACTAAGGAATCTAAAATATTTGTTAATTGAAAGACAACATTCAAGCGAAGGACTCAATTTTTTTTATAATTTTTTTTCTTTTTTTAAATAATCTTACTTTCCTCTTCAGTTAACACATTTTGTTAAGTTCGCGCCAGTCTATGCTCGCAAATATTTAAATGACGTCATTGGCTTTTTACATGATCAACCGCGAGATATCATGACCCCAGTTTTAAAGGCAATAAATTCGGGCCGCGATTCCGCAATAAATGTCACTGGTCATCGCGATTTGCCTTCTCCCTTATAGCCACCACCGCCGTCTAATCGATCGAATACCACCAATATAGATATTTACCGCAACTTTAGTCACATTAGACCGTGTTAACCCGTGGGACGACCGACCATATATACCGAAAACCAATTTGGCGGTATTATACAATATTGTGGCCACCACGTAAGTCACGGACGGCGACGACGTCCTCTTAATCACGGTAATGTGCAGGTTATCATGTCCGTAGTTGGCCACGCGCATATACCTACGTATTGACGTTTGCAATATAATACTGCAGGGAGTATATTTTATTTTGCCCTGTGTAGATACGAAGTACAATCGATAAGTTTAAAGAGTTACGTGTAATAGGATATACGTTATTTTTCTCGGCCGTTTGTACACTCCTTAATTTTTATCGCCCAAAAACATAAATAAATGACATTTTATTTCCGGACCATTTTTACCGAGCGTTGGTACCAAATGTTATACCGAATAAACTATACAAATATTATAAAAATCATTAAGTCAAGACACAGGTAGTAAATACTCTTCTTTATAGAATGTATAATAGCCAATAAGTCTTTTTGCGTGAAACTCAATCGGAGATTGATATTTAATGCTATATTATTATGCACGAGATAGATAAAGAAAACAAATTATACTTTGATTTGGTAATTTTACATAGAATATAGAAATAATTTATTTTAATAGGAGAGATTATTTAAAATTATTTTATTATACAAATAGTTCGTTTTATATACAATTAGTATTAGTATTAGTATTAGTATTATTAGACCTAGATATGTCAAGCAATATAAATTATTTGGTTATTATTTATTATCTAAAATGTTTTGATATAAGATTAAATAAAGACAAATAATTTATATTTCTTCACATATATCTAATAATAACTAATTTTATGTAAAAAGAATTATTTGTGTAATTTTTAGATTCTGAATGCAGCGAATAATAATAATATATCGGTTTTACTATTTTTGAGCTATTTATAGACATTTTAATTTTTCAAGTTTTGTACGTAATTTTTATTCGGTAAGTACTCTGTGGTAAAATTGTTAGACTTGAACAGAAATGCTTGAAAATTTAACAGGAGGTTCATTAGGAATCTAACTTTGTAGTAAAATAAATGCAAATTGAGTTTAATGTAGTATTTCTTTTTATAAGGGAATTTTATTATTAAATTTTGACAAAAATCGTTTGAGTAAAAAATTATGTGAAAGAAATCTAATTTATCAATTTTTTGTTTATTTTAACATATGTATATTACCGATTTAAAAAACGATAGAAAAGTCAGAATTAAGCGGACTGAAGTTTCGAATTTATAGCTTTTTATAGTTCTGATATTATGTTATGTTAAATAACTCTATATTGTACCTATTCAAGCATATTTCTCGTTTTCTAATGGTTATGTCTATTTTTATCCTAAGGGTTCCGTGTTCAAACCTGTGTTTCGTGAAAAAATGTTTGCTTTTTTCCCCCTTATACCTAAACAATGAAAAAACAAGTGCATTTTAGATGTTTCTAGAGACCCAAGCCATCGCTCGTTCGGACTATTTTAATCGTAATACTTTTCGACTTGTTGTATAAACTTTTCTATTATCAATTTCTTTCCGATTTAAATGATAGCACTTTTTCTAAAAGGAAATCTGACTGGGAAGGTATTTTAAAGCAGTAATTTTTCGATTTTTCAAGGAGGTTTCTCAATAAATGAGAAAAATTATGAAAAACTGGAAAATATACAAAATATATTAGTAAAATATTATGATTATTTTTTTCTGTAGACAGCTTTTTTACCAGCAATTTCGCTCCTATTTACAATGATAGTACTTTTTCTAAAAGGAAATCTGACTAGGGAGACTTTTGGGAGGTCATTTTTCAATATTCCTAAGAGTTCCCATCAAATGTGAAAAACCGGTAAAATATTAAACAAATATTATAAAAGCAAATATATAATGCCTATTTAATATTTTAATATAATATAACATATATATTGTGTACAAAGCATCACTATCAACTAAACTACGCTCAGAATTGTTTTTTCGTTAGCAATGGTTTATCGTTGCTTACAGATACACATTGATTTCCCCTCTATATCCTACCTTTTCAACTTCTTGCCAACAATAGTGGCTGTACCTATCTGTCTTCGTTATCCTAGGATAGTTTTCAAAAAAAGAAAAGATGAATTGCCTTAATTTGTTTTATTTTTTATCATGAACCTGCGATTATATAAACCCCCGGCCTCTTTTTTGAACATAAATTCGAATATAGATTATATTTTTCTAGAAATAGTTTGTATAACACTAATCACTATCAGATTTATTGTTTATGAGTTATCAATTTCCTGTTTAAAAATATATAAGAATTTTATTACCCTACCCTACTACTCCGGTCTAAACTTTAAACGTACATTTTCTTATTGTTCCTACGTTTTTTCCGATTTTTCCTAATGATTACGAAAACCGCTTGAAAAATTTAAAAATGATTCCCCTAAAGTATCAACTAGATAAAGTTTCTTTTTAGAAATCAGAAAAGGTGCTATACTCGATACGCTCAGAATCCAAAAATCACTCTGCATAACTGGTTATCATCAATAAGTGTATGATAATAATCTTGTGGTTTGAAAACGGCAGTGTAGCAGCCGCCGTTAAAAATATATTTTAAAAGAAGTTATAGTTTATTTATGTTTATGCTCCTTGAATAATTCGTAAAATTGTCGTGCAACCGATCAGTGATTTACTAACCCATTAAATATTTAATGAGCTATCAGTTAATATTTACTTAAATATTTATGGAATGATTTTTATGCAACACGGCATTTATGTTTGAACAACAATGTCAAATGTAAGTGAATTTCTTAATAAGACGAGGAGTTAAAAAACCTCATAATTAAACCTTTTTATTTATTTAACTAATTTAACCTAACCTTAATTTCCTGAATTAACTATATTTAAAAATATATTTAATAATTACTGGATTAATAAAATATGGTAATAAACCACCTACACCATAAAGTAACAAATATATATAAATATTAAATAATTTTGATACAAAAATTAAAAAGTACGACCTATTGGGGTCATGGCCCCTGTGCTCCTCCTCCTCCCCTATAGCTACGTCACTGAAGTAGTGTGATTGTCGCTATAGTTTTAATTTGACATTAATTTCGTGTACTATTTAATAAACTATTATATGTGTTTCGCAGGCTACGTGACTTATGATTTAATTCATTTCTACTTACACTACGGATGTCCCAGCGAAGGCTCGTACATGTACACGATGAAAAGATACCATAATCAGCATCATTTCGCGCACCATGAGAGCGGTTAGTATTATATTATCGAGTGCTGTCGCTTATTGGTCCAATTGTCTAAAACTCAAAATAACTCGAAAAAAATATAATATACTAGCTGTCCCGCACTCGGCGTTGCCTGTGCTAATTTTTTATCCTTTTCACCTTTATTTCCGTATTGGTTTGTCCGTATCAGTATATTGAACTAAAAAAATATGTGGAAAGTGTGTAGTTCACTGATTGAATATGTTCTAGTTTATCATAAATTGTTTTCATTCGTGTTACCATATAGATATCCGCAAACAGAGCTATATAATATCCACTATAATAACCCTAAAATTAAGAGGACATAATAGTACTGTAGTGTTGTTACTGTACCGAAAAATAAAAAAGAATAAAAAATGACATTTAACGAATTTTCACTTTTCACTTACCCACCCAGTACAACGCATAGATTTTTATTATTTTTTTTTTTCATGCGTGTTACCAAGGTAGCCCATCCTATTTCAAGCCAATAATAGACCGGCAGAGTATCAGGTAGACTCTATATTTTAAGTTGTTATCGCATTTTTATTTCTGTTTATTATTTTTTATTATTTTGTTTTAAATTTATTTTCATTTCATCCATGTTACTATGGCAATCCATAATTCAACAAAAAATAATTTAATTTTTGAACTAAAAATTTCTTAAAACCTTTCATCTCCTTCAAGTTTTATTTTCGCGACAAAAAGTAGCTTATGTTTTCTCCAAGGTCACATATATTTTTATACTAAAATTCATGAAAATCCGTTCAGTAGTTTTTGCCTGAAAGAGTAACAAATATCCATATATCCTCCAGACTTTTTCATTTATAATATTAGTAGAATAATTAATCTTATTTTAAAATTTACTCTGTTTATTACTTCCTCTATTTTATTGATTTCATGCAAAATGCCGAAAAACGATTAGAAAATTTAAAAAACATTCTAAAATGAAAAAAATCTCGAAAACTTATAAAAAATTTCGTCAATGACGTCCGAAACCCTTAATATTGTTGTTAATATTCATGCAACAATATTAAATAATTATTTGCGTTTTTTCAGGTTTCGGTATCAGCAGCCAATTTTGGGACCACATTTTCGGCACAGCCATTGCACTGAAGAAGCTTAGCCGATGTTTGAAATGGTACTAACTCTAGTAACCTCTAAACTCGTGCCTTATTATATAAAAAGAATTAATTATACATATATATATATATATATATATATATATTTAAAAAAAAAAAAAAAAAAAAAAAAAAAAACAAAACAAAACAAAAACCAAATTTAAATACCTATAAATAAAAAAAATGCATATATTTATATATACACGATGTATATTGTTGTATATTGATATATAAAAAAATATTATTATTATTACTATTATTATTATTATTATTATTATTATTGATAGTATCTTTATACAAAAGGATAATATCACAACAATCATGTCGGAGTGTTTGAAACTCAAATATAACCAAAAATGAAAAAAAAAGTTAACGAAAAATATATAATATAAGACGAATCCGCTCAAGTTGGAGCGCGGTCATAACCCGAGGACATAATAAATATATCATCTCATTTTGTTATGCATACAATGTTATATTTAATATGTGTATAAATATATTATATATATATTTATAATATTGTCGCTTTTATTGCTATTTTTGTTCAAAGGTATTTACAAAACTTTTATAGCTGTTTTGTCGTTACTCTGTACATTATCATTATTTTATTTTATTTGTTTGTCTTTTTAAATAATAAAAACAATATTATTTATATTTTATTGACTACTAATGTTGATATTCGTGTCAACGTTTTTTTTTATGATTATTATTTTCGTTAGATCCATTTTGCCGATCAACGAAAACGTCCGATAATTATTAGAAGTATGTACGAGCACGAGGTACGTTATTATATATTGGTACCTGTTATTATATTATTATTTTTACCAATGTCCAAGCGTAATGTTTACACTCACTATTTTACACTCGTAGATACTATGGTTACTCTTCAACGATATGATAAGATGTCTACCGAATAAGTTACTAACTATTTGTGATACGCGTATTTAGTCGATAAGTTGTATAGACAAATGTTTCCCAACATAATTTCGGACCGTGAATGATTTTGATTGAATCACTCTAACATTTTAAGTTTAAAAAAAGAATGTTTTAACTTTCAAAACGTGAAAATGACGAAATACCTATAAAAAAAAGGTATAAACTTAACCTTTCACTACTCTTCACTATCTGAAAACACGAAATATAATTGTGACTTGTATTCCTGCACCTAAAAACGTATTAATATTAATTGTATATATGTATGGGTAAATACGAGTTTTATACATTCAAATAAATTGAAAATTTAATTTAATTTAACCATCGTAATTGGTACATGTAAGTGAGGATGAAGTGCCACCGTTAAATTTTAACTTAATTTTAAAATCAATTGCGTGAAAAAATTCGTAAAAATCTTGGGTCACATGTACACAAAAGTTTACACGTATTAATTGTATACATTGTGCAATTATAAATATGTACCTAGCATATGGATATGATACAAGAGTGAAAAAAGAACTAATAACTCAAGTATTAAATGTTATTTTATTTATATTAAAATCATTTTACATTTAGACCGTCAGACAATCAGTTTTGAAATTTTAATTATAACTCATTTAACACGCGAAAGTTACAGTCAGTTAAAAATGTTGAAATCGTTGTTATTTTTAAATGATTTACTGAGAATTATATATAAAATAACAGAAAAACCGCATTAGCTTGAAATATTCTGAAATACTGTCCTCTTATAATTGTATAATAGAAAGGTGCAGTGGTGCCGAACCATGTTCTAAGAAGATATATAAGAATACAAAATAAAAAAATGAATAAATGAGTCGCCTAGAGTATAATGATAAGTATAAATGATAAGTGTATATATGATCGGTGTCAAATTGAAAATTCATCATTAGGTATATACCTGATTCATTCATTTTTTATTTTTTATTTCTAAACATAAATTTTGTGTTTATATATTTATTTACTAAACTTATAAACAATATAACAATCGCCGAAATGCTTTGAAAATTCCGTCTCAAATGTGCTAATATAAAATATTCTATTAACATTTAGGTTTCTACGATTATTCTAAACCGAATCTAAAAAAAAAAAATCGAAAATAATGAAACCATTATTTCCGTAAACTTCTCCGTTTTTTCTAAGTTTTTCAATTATTTAGAAAACTGCGTGGAATATCAAAATTACTTCTTCAATGAACTAACTAGGTATCCAATTAAATACAATTTTATTTCAGAAAAAATTCTACTCTTGAAAATAGGAATAACATATCTGGTACAAAAGTTGTTTACAGACAACAATAAAAAAAAAACACAATATAATTAAGTAATTCAAGTGCTAATCCCAGGTCCTGTAGGAAATTTTAATTTTAAAATCTGGTCTCTTGAGTGTCACATAGATTTTTCCCAAAACCCCTTAGTGGTGTCTATGGTTATTAATTGTTTTTAAAAGTGAACTAAAAAGGAAAATCCTGATATTGTAAGGTAGATAAAAAAATTCAGAGAATTTTCACTGACCGGAAAAATACTCGAAATCTGAAAATCTTAAACAAAAAAAATACGAAATAATTGTGATGTACCTACTTGCTGTTAGATCATTCGATTAAAATATGGTCGGCCTTTAGGTGCAAAAGTTAAATTAAAGATAAGTACGCTGAAATAAACTTATCGTTAAGCCCCCTCCCTCCCAAATAATGATTTACTCGGCCAGCGATGGTAATGGTATTAAAAGTATGGGAATTTTTTTTCTTATTTTTTTACCCGTAACGAGCACACAGCACAATAGTTTTTAATAAATGTTTTTAAATATTTTGTAAAATGTATAGCGACCATTGGTTGATGATTACTTTTGCATTTTGAATTAAATAATTAATGCATCGATTGCATGAATCGATTCGTACGAAAATTCGTGGAAATTATTGTTTTCATTCAGTTTTTTTTTTATTATTATTAGGTTTTCTTATAGGTATGTACTTACGGCAAAGACGACAATGACGCTTCTGAAGCCGTATTCCGAACCTATGCGGACGACTACGGTAAGTCTATTATTATACGTGTTATGGAACAATGGGTCGTCGTATAACGCGACCGACGCAATATAACGCAATATAATGCGGGGGCTCCGCCGCCGTCGGTTTAATGATTTCAATGTCGTGTAGGCCAACTCTAATTTTAGTGCGCGGGTGCCGATCTTTTTTTAGCGAATTTAAAAATTAGCTTTAAGCGACATTTTCCAAACCGTCCGTATCTGCGTTTTTTTCCCCAGGCCCAGACCGAGCATAACCAACAGTACATCGTTTTTTTTTTTTATTATTATTATTATTTTATACACACGGAAATAAATATAATCCCCGCTCACATTAATAATAATTATGATGTTTTGTAAAGTTCGTTAGTCAAATGGCGTGCGTAGACGAATTCCGCGACTTCGACCCGTTATCTATCTCGAAATTCCATAAAAACGTCCCCGGAGACTTACAGGTGTGTTAGGTATCTAAAATATACCTTTCGAAATTATACCCGCGTGGTCACGCCATCCTAATATTGTCGGTGTAATGTCACCCAAAGTCACGATAATTTTTTCAAGTGTCAATTTAGGTCATTTCATTTCCTATACCTACGAACAAAATAATATCCTTTAATAATATAATAATAAAAAATATCAACATTTTAGATAAAATTTATCCAAAACTTAATGTAAATATAATTAAAGTTTGACCTATACAAAAAAAGACGGACTTACTTCGCAGTTCGCACTACGGGTGGGCCACTGTTGTAGGTGAGAAGTTGGGAAGGTAGGATATAGAGGGGAATTTAATGTACATCTGTACGCAACAATAAATCATTGCTAATGAAAAACGATTCGGAGCGTAGTTCAGTTATACATGTTTTGAAAGGCCGTAATATTTGAGATTTTCTTCAAAATTTGATATTAAAATTCTTATAAAAATATTACATAAAACTCATTATTTTTTTTAACATACAGTACGACTTGTAATCAACCTCCTTTTAAATGTTTATATATTTCTATTTAGTTTATCAATCTTATCCACTGAATACCGCCTATACCGAATAAAAATTACGTAAAAACACAAAATTAAAATATAGCCTAAAAAATTACAAATGTTTTGAAAATTTTACCAAGTTTAGAAAAATGCGAAAATGAGTTTTCTGTCCAAATTTTAAGTCTGCGAATCACAACAAAAAATTCAAATTGAAAATAATAGAAACATTATTTTCGTAAATGTTTTCTTTTTCTCCAATTATTACCTATAAAAACTGCTATATTTATTACGTAAACAACTCGAATCAAAAATAGACATCCTTAAAATAGCAAGTAGATAAAATTTCCTTTCAAAAAAAGTGCTACACTTGATACATCGGAGCAAGATTTCTGGTAGAAAATTTGTTTATAATATAAAAAATAAAAATAAACATCATTGTAAAACCAATATATTCCTCGCTACACTCTGAATCTAAAAGGTTAGTTGAACATAAACTATTATAGATAAGTAGGCAGGTAAAAAAAGAAACCTGGTAATTTAGTATACACGTTGAAAGCAAAGATCAATCATTGAAATCAAAAAGCGATTCTGAATAGAGCTCAGTTAAACTGGTAAAATATATAATAATATAATAATTAATAGCTAGGTAGTCGTGTTTTTTTATCCACCTTGTATAGCCAACATAATCCAGAAATCGCTTAAAGTAAAATTTTATCAATTTTAGATTTTGAGTGGAACGAAGAAGCTTATGGTTTTACAGTTGTATTTTTATTATTTTTTTTATCTGTTCATAACTTTTCTACCAGAAAATTTCTTAAGTGTATCACCTTTTCTGAAAGGAAATCGACGTGGGAAGGTATTTTAAGGAAGTTATTTTTCGATTTTCTCAGGAGTTTTCCCAGCAAATTTTAAAAACCGGGATAAAACGGAAAAATTGAGAAAAATGTAGGAAAATTTAAAAAATCGGTATATCATTAAACAAATATTATTAAAGAAAATATATTAATCCTATTTAATTATTTTACTGTAAAATGAGATATATATTATTGATAAAGCATCACTATCAACTGAACTCTGCTCAGAATCGTTTTGTCGAAAGCGATGATTTATCGTTGCTTACAGGTATACATTAAATTACAATGACTCCACCCATCTTCATTAACCTATGACGTCTTTTTGTTATTAGTTTATTTGATTTATTGAAAAAAGTATTAACAATTACAAAATAATATTCAAATTAAGTAGGTACTAATTTGGTACTCAATTTTAATAAAACATCCGTATATTTTAAGATGACCAATGCGTAGTAAAGAAATCGGCGTAATAAGAAGAAATCTGGGTGTCCCCTCTCCTCCCTTCAAACTTGAAAGAAGTACATTTTATGTAAAAAGTTATAATTTGCAAGTTTGCAAAGTTTTATATTTTTTCCTAACTACTTAGATAATTGATATTTTTAATATGTTTTACTGCTAAAGGCCTCAAAAAAATATTTGCTCCAGGCATCCAAAAGTCGAAATCCGGTCCAGCCATCTTCTATGCAATTTCTAAAAAAATTATTCATACCCGTACAATACCTAGCCCAAATTACGCCACTGATAAAATGTACAATAAGTCCCCTTGCACTAAACTCAACCGAAGAGTCGTTATAGTGTTTGTTGGTAAATTCTAAGTACACACAAGACAGACCGAGGAGACAAATCATGTGTAGAGCCCATAACTTGCGGGTATTTTTACCGAACAACGATTTATTATTTCACGTCGCATATATACGCAGATTTAAGATTGTTATTATAGATATATAGTACAACGATCAAACGTGCGGTAAAACGAAACCAACAGTGTTTCTTTATACTTTTTATGACCGTCCGGTGCCAACATTTTACGGATGAAAAAAAAGTAATTTGACCTATTTTCGCGCAACACCTGTAGATTTTTATATTAAATTATTATTAATATTATGTTCTTCCGACCGACGACGTGGACCCCGTTTTCCGAATACGACACTGTATAATTCTATATAAATAAACAACTCATTCGGACCGACGCGCGTCGTCGAATTGTTTTTTTTTTCACCGTGATTTGTTCGTATTCACCCCGATTTTATTATACTCATTATAGATACCCCGAAAAAGCCGTTGTTAGTGGCCACCTGCAATCGGTTCCCGTAGCAACACGACCACGACATGGCGCGACGTGATAGTATATGACACAACCGAAAAGACATTTACATTTTTCTTTTTTTTTTTTTCGT